AAACACGACCCCGCAGACGTTATGGTCGTGGCCACGCAGCGTCCTTAGACACTCGTAGTCGCCATCACTGGAAAAGTCCCAGATCTTTACTGACAAATCCGTTGACGTCGACGCTAGCAACGAGCCAGACCCATTAAAAGCCACGGCCTGCACGGGATTCGTATGGCCTTTCAGCGTGCGTTCGTAGTCGCCCGTCTCAAAATCCCAGACTTTGATCGTCGCGTCTTCACTGGCTGAAGCCAACACACTGAACACGGGGTGGAAAGCCACGCAGGTGATGGGCGAGCGGTGCCCCGTCAGCGTGAGCTTGGCAGGCACTCGTGGTAGAAACTCTGCTCGCTGACGGGCCCCGAGCACGTCCCTGCGACTCAAGACGCCGCCCAGTTTCGCCGTCTCTTCCAGCTGCGCCACTTTTGTCTCGAGTTCCATGACTTTGCGCTGCAAGCGAATGACGGACGTCCACTTTTTCTCCAGCAGACCGGCGTGTTTGCCATCACTGGACTTGGTCACGTCTGCTTCGTTCTCAAAGGCAGCGGCTGTGGCAGCGAACCGTTCACCCATGCCGACGAGATAGTCCAGCATGGCTTGATGACTAGAGAGAGGGACAATGACATGGACAGGAACGAAAAGACACACAGAGAGAGACGGAGAGTGAGACGTGGAGGTGATGCAACGGGGACAGTGCGAGAGACAGACGCACGTACAGATCCTGCCGCTGCTTGTCAGTGAGCACCATGACGTCGAGCGAGGGACGGACCGAGAGAGAGAGGAGTGGAGAGGGGGAGAGAGAGAGTTAGAGAGAGAGAGAGCCTGGACGTGGTCTGTTAGTGGAATTCTGGCAGAGAGGTCGGTAGTACTGCTCTGAATTGACCGAAAGAGGGAGTTCGAGGTGAGATAAAAGCCAGTGAGGGACGAGGGACTTGACGGTATTCTGGAGTCGCAAGCTCGATGTCCCTTGTTTGAGAGCTATCTGTGACTTTGGCCGGATACAAAAATACGACTCAGTTCTGGATCTATTTGTTGCGAGACTTTGTGGACATTGCCCAGACCAAAGAGAATGGGACAATGTCACGGACCCAAACCCACGCGAATGACTTTGTAATTCGACAAAAGCATTGGGTCCTGGAACTACCAGATGATGATAGGACATTTCGCGTCTTTCGTCTCTTGTCTTCCAGGTATGCCCAGATCTCTAATGTTAATGAGATTGAGTTGAGCCTTGTGACTGGGCGCAGCGATCGAGTCTTTTGTCCACGAGATTATGGTGCCGAAAGAGCCTTACAAAAGCGTCTGAACGAGTTTCAAAGCGCATTGAGAGCAACAATCCTGTATGTGGGAAGAGCTGTAAGGTACTGGAGAGTCCAAACCTGAGCAAGGGGGACGAATCATCACTATAGACAGCAAATCGATGGTCGATGCCCTCATTAACAACGACCGTCTGCGATGTAATAGAGGCACAACCACTTCTCGTTGTCCAACCTCTGATTACTTAACGGATAAGAGACCCAGGAAACTTTCAAGCAAGGTGGGGGACCAAAAGGTGCTCGCTTCTATCGAGCAAGGGTAGGAGACGGAACAAGCTGCCTAACTGTTCATTCAACAAAAGATCGAGCAGGTCCCATTTGAAAGCCTGGGTGGTCTATCAGTCACTCTACGAAACACTTACTGTTGTCACGATGGCATAACACCAGTATTGGTGGTGGTGTTGGGAGGGTCTCAAGGCTTCTCGACTCATGGCAACTTTTGCTGGATCTCCTAGGTCTGGAACAGCTTGTGTACTTGGCGCGTATCGATACCCGTCTTTGCGCAAGCGAGAACCAGGTAGATTACGAGTCAATCGGGAATGCTAAAAAGTAAAAGTCTGAAACCGTTAAAGCTATCCAGAATTTACGCCTCACTTCCTACGTAGAGAATTTGTCCGAAGAAGATGACTAGTTCTGTCTTAAAAAGACGTTGATCGACACAAGCAGCAAATGCGACTGTGTCTGGCGAGTTTAAGTATCGTGCTGCGATGTGGATCTAATGATGACGAGCGACTCACCTGACATCGTGGCGAGCTACATTCCCACAACGAAGATTAAATCGTAAACTTCTGAAGCATCTCATTTGACGATTGGTAATGCAAGTCGGAGAGGCATTATTGGTGAAGACTTGAACGTGATGCTTACGCGTTATGACTCGATTCCATCACATGTGTAAACTTGCAGCCACTTGTGCCATTCTAATTAATTGTTTGCATGCACGCTCATTTATATTATCCATGCAACTTACCTGCATTGCCTTCATCAGCCTTGGAGTTCGAGACGCTCCACTTGCCATGGTTATTAATATGAATGGCGCTGTTCGAGCACCGCTCTTGCAAGAGAACGCGATAGATCAATCATTCTACGATATGCTTCATAAGTGTCGACAACTACAATCTTTTAAACTTTAGCACTGATGCAAACATGCAGACTGCTTGCCATTCACATACAAGGCTTTCCAATGTTTATCTTGAAACGTTTCGGGTCAAAAGATGACAAAATTAGGTCGCTACAAGATTAACTAGTATATTTGGCAATGGTATCATGCAAAGCCATATACAACTGAAGAAACCGCACCTACCTTAGTCTAACGAGACCGTTCAAAATCATGCGCCGAAATGTTGGATCTAGCTTGAAGCGTCGAGGTATCGGCAATTGCTGGTACTTTGCATTTACAGGCCAGCTGAGTCACGTCAAATTAAGGGCGCGTTAGGAGAATTACACGATCAGATGATGTACGGGTAAAGCATAGAGTGCTCAGCGAGCAACTGTACAAGAAAGCATCACATGGCTTTAAACTGGTCAACTACTGAGTTCCATTTATCACTCAATGGCGGGCATATTTAATCACGCCAAGTGGGGACTCTGTGAATTTATCTGCTTTCATGCGAAAGGACGCTTTGCGCGACCGTAAATACGCCCTCACGACCATCTAGCAATTATATATTCTCTTTAGTTTTAATGAGTAGTTTTTAGGACTGGAATGACAGAAAAGCTGAACCAAGTTGACCGCTGTAGCTAATTCTGAAGCGCTGTCACAAAAAGAGCGGTAGCGCATCGAAGCTATCCAACAAATCTGCAGATGTCTGGATCGTTAACAAAGAAGTATACTGAAGAAAAAAACGTGTCGAAGATCCGCGCTTTGGTGTGGATGGCAGAATGTTAAATGCATGGTCCAAATAAGGTGCGAATGCTGACGCGATAAGGTCACGACGGTGACCCCCTCGGTCAAAAACAAGAGGCTAAATGTTCGACAAACCTCTCACTCGATGATGAGATCTTTCGATGACATTTAATTTTTTGGTAAGGTCATGGCATGATGTTGACAAGCATATGTGATGAGCAATGTAAAAGAAGTCAGCGAAACGATTCTAGCACAAGGCCGCCATTGTTAGAGAAGTCGTCATTTACAATTATGAAGCTAGACCATAGCATGACGGATGGAGAATAGAACAGTAGTTTGATGTACTGCTCATATCAACGAGAGTCTATGGGTTTCTCTGCAGCACTTACCGGATCGGTGTTTGCGGCGGATGCAAAACTTGACGCTACATTTGTATCCTTGCGCACGTCAACGCTGGTGCTGTAAATGATAAATGAAGCGCGTCCATTATCTAATTTTTCGACTTCATAACATCGCTTTTGTAGCAATCACGGCTACGTTGCCAAAGAACTTTTTCGTGATACAATTCGTCATAATCACATTGCCATATTCTGTCACCAGGTCACCGTATAATGACGAACCAGCTCTGCACATTTGGCTGCTGAACTTACTAGCACTGCCATCGCTGCGGCTATTTTTTCACTGCAAGTCCAACAAGTGAAGCTATTGTCGACTGTGCTCAAGGTGGATTCCAAATTTGTCAATAACCACTTTTTGTCTGCCTGTGTGTCTGCATACGATACCAGGTGTACCATAGATGCCGTACGAGGTCCGATGTTACCAGCATCCTCCTTTCAGGTAGATAAGCATGATGGATGTTAGACTTTGATCCAGTCACCCAACGAGCCCGCATCTAGAGAGCGTTACTTCCGTACATACGTACAACATTCACACACGATTAGCTCAAAAGTGATCAAGGGCACGTAGAGTCGAAGGAGAATGAGCAAATGTTCGACTCGTAGCAGCACCGAAAGTCTTGCTCCTTTCACAAACGGTAAATGTGAAGTGAGGTAAATGCGTAGGGATTGATATATAGAATAGAAGAAATGTATGGTCTTTCGGTGACCAGAGGAACCTTCCCATATCTCTTGTCACATTTCCTTTATATCTCGTCCGCCACGCTTCAAGGTTGAAGGTGCAAATGGGGCATAATCGTCCCTGTCTCTCTTTCGTATGCTCGTCTCTTACACACATCAACGTCATCAACGAGTAGCTATAACACACAACAATTCATCAGCACTTGCATTTCTAATACTTGCAAAGCACAATCTAGACCTCAGCCACCTATCATTCTAACCTCGATTTAGTTCTCCGGGATGAATTACTTGTATGGAAGGGCATATTCCAGAGCTTGCTCTCCTAAGAAATGCATTAGCTGTGCATAACAACACCTTTATGCCCCATCTCACAAAAACTATGTGCTTGCATTACTTCATGATTATTTGACACTCGCTAGCGGCACTAATCACTTACTCAAAACCCCATGGGCTCCAACCTTTTGCCATAGCCCTTCGAGCTATTTTCAAGCAGATTAGTGATCACCTCGTTTTTCCTCGTGGAGTCGCTTTACTCTACAGTCGCACTCAATTCGATACTGCTATCGATGGTCGCGTCGTTTTAGCTCCATTACTTCATCAATTGACAGTTGAAGTGTCCCTTTGTCGAGCGTAACGGGAGGGGGCAGCGACTCTCAGGTTTTATTTTCTTTAGTATTTTCACTTTGCGTACCACCGGTACAAATTCTACTGTTCACTCACATTTACGAGGTATAGTGCAAACGAGTGACCAATTGACACACATCTACGGCCTTCAATATGAATGGTGGAGACAGGAGTCCAGCGACAAAGTATACTATCGACTCGAGTGATACACGGAATCGCTCGTCCAAGGGTGGGATTGACTACGATGTTGTTTCCCATCATTTGACCTGAACCAACATTCGTTTTTTAGATACCCCAAACATGCATGAACTTGGAAAGGACCCGTTGACATGGGTAAGAAGGCGTTTTCGCCATCACACACGTGAAATTCCTTTCTTTCTTACATTTTTTCTGCTTCTCAGAGCTTCGTGAAGCTTTTGGGCGTGCACGTGAGTCGTGATTTAGTCGAATTCGGAGGTCTTCCAGCAAGTCATGCGTGGCGATTCAAGATGTCAGGACTCTGGAGAGCACGTCTTCTGACAAAAGCCCAGTGCATTGGAGTGGTCATTTCCACCGTGGAGCGAGCGGATCGAGGTGAGACCTAGAAGTCCGAAAGTAATATCAGCTGCTAACTGATGATTCGTATCAGTCGAAATTTTGATTGACGACGGTACTGCACTCGTGAAGACGGTGTTATGGGGGAGAATGTCTGTGCACCGGTAGCGCTGGGAGACCTTGTGCATGTGGAAGGAAGCTGAATATGGATAAGAGCTGGGACGCCGTTGATCTGTCAGTGACGTTGATTTGACTGTTGTCATGTAATAAGATCATAACACTGTGTCTAATATTCGATCATGGCAGTGGAAGAGCTCGTGAGCTCCGAATTCTACGAATCACTCCTGTGGACGACCCGAATGCAGAGTTGCTGCATTGGACACAAGTGATGGAGCTAGAGAAGAGGTACTTATCCGCTGCTAGCGGATCACGTGAGTCACAGACGGAAACTGGTGATTGTACGAAGACCGAGGCGCACTGGGAAAAGATTGCCGCTCAAGCTTTCTTCGAGCTCTCGATTGCTATCAGCACAAAGCAGCGGTTTTTGAGTCGAAGCGATCGTGGCTCCTACGATGAGACGTTACTGGAACTTCTTGAGTTCATTCTTCTACAGCAAACAACAAGTGGTTCCGAGGAAGCCAGCATGATCTCTTTCAGCACTTTCATCAGCTCACCTGGACCTGTCGCGATGGCGAGTGTACTTAAAATTGTTTGCTTCGGTACGCTATATTCTCACATGATGTTCATGATAGGTGGACAAACACGGCAAAACAGTCGACAAGAACCAGAGAATCAGGGCATTGCAATTCTCTTTTCGTGAGCTGCATCGAGCAGGGCTTTTGTTCTTGGAGGATGATGAGGCAGACCGCCACGTTTTGTTGAGCTTTGAGGTGGCGTTAAAGCCTGTGCTTCTGCAAGTTATTCGAGGTGCCCTAAGAAGTTGCACATATGTGTGGGTTGCGAGGTACTAAATGGTCATGGCTTCTTTGTTCAGACCGATCACAAGGATCCTCAATTGTGGAAATTGTGGATGCAATACTAAACCAGGAGCGATTCAAGTGCATTCCGCTGCACTGGATCGAAAAGAGCCTCGAGCGTCTTATAGTATCTCAGCACGTACTTCAACACGAAAAGTCACAGCTGTTCTATGTAAGCACCAAAGAGCTGTAGGCAGAACATGGTACGCGTGGAGGTCTCGACGGCGTTGTCTAGGGCTCTACTCTGCATCGATACATAACTGCAAGTTGGACTACCTGTAATCTGTCAGAAGGCACCTTTACTCTGTCAGGAAAAACGGCTTGTAGGCATAACCGTCATTCTTTGTGTGATGTTGTCACTTTTCACGAGTTTTTACTGCATACGAATGACAAAGCTGAAGATCAAGTTACAGGTAAGCTACAATCAAAACATTTAGTACAGCTTCCGGTATCAGACACAACGAGTACTATTTAATCCCTAGGATAGCGAGTCGACCAACTAGTAAACCTTCGCACTGCAAACTTGTCGATCACTCGCTTGTCAAGCGCCTTCAAACAATGCAATGGAAGTGAAAACAGGTCAGTGAAGATGAAACAATCCACGAACCATCATAAAATTGTCAGTTCGACAGTCAGGTCAACCGGCCCCTGTATTGAACTCGCTCTAGTGTTAGGCGGAACGATCCTTATAATCAGATGATCGCTTCTAGCGACTACAAAAGCAAGCAATTTGTGGATACAACTGGTCAGCATATTGCTTTGGCGTGTTAAACTCCCATCAGTACTGAGTGCTAACGCTGACACTCGTTTTGTTGAATTTGGGACTCGCCAAAGCCGGATCGTTATTTTTCATCTACAACTGACAACATGCTTCGCTATAAGGCATATCATACGGTGGTAACCACGACTCTACCGTCACGAATACTATTCTAGTTTACGACAAGTCTCAGTCCGACGGAAAAATAATGCAACAGTTATTGCGTCATTCCCCATCGGCACACTGATTGTATCAATGCTTCGCAGTCTACAGTTTTAAACAATGCCATGTGCCTTTCGTCTTTTGCACGAAAACTATCATCGACTTGGGTTGATCATTCACGAAATGCACTATTAGCCTCGCTGGATTCAGTATGTGGCGAAACATTTTCCTATGCAACAGAAGAGGAGTAGCTACACCCAACGGACTCTTTGTGCGCGATCCATGTTATTCTAGCCAAAGACATCCGACATACTAAGTCCTTCGTCAAAATCCACGCGACAATAATAACGATTGCTCGTAACGAGCCACTTTAGTTAGACACTGGCAAATTCACCTCATGATGAAAATACGCTGCCGTTGCCAGTGCGATAGCGCACATAGAAGGATCTTGGTGCAGCAAATTTGCTTCTGGAAGTTGGCTTTATACGCTAGCCCCAAATCTTGCGTGTATATGTGCAACTGATTCGAACTTCACCGGTGGGCGATTCTAGACAGCGCTCTGATTGAAGTAGTTGCATATACACGCTCGCTATATATCTTAGCTGCACCTACTGTTCTTACTTTACTCTCATAAACCCGCCAGAGAGTGAGGAAATGCAGCAACTAAGTTGTCACCACCTATTTTCAGTACAAACTCTGCGCTAGTGAGGCATTGTCCACACAGCGTAAGTTTGGCATAGATATCACTCGATTGCTGCCTCTCATGGAATCACCGCTTCGGTCAAGCTCGCTATCCAGCTAACTAATGACGATATGCGGTCTATATCGAATAGATAGACGGACCATGACATACGTCACCTCTTCGAATGCTGGCATTTGGACTTCGGAGCGTTTCTTGAACCATATTTACACCTTGTCTCTCGTCTTCAGCACAAATTACCGCTGGACACCTACTATCAATCGAAGACACCGGTCCAATTTATTTATTTAGCATAGGCAAGTGACCAGTTTTGTTTTACCTTAAACTAGTAGACAACACTTCGCGCCTTGCTACAGATGTCGTGCGCGTTACAGAATTCTAGAGTCACACTTTGGTCTTGGAGTATGGGGCGGCAACAAGTAAGGATGTTGCAGTGGTCGTTTGCCCTTTATTACTACTGACACGTATTTGAATACAGTATTGGCTTCTAGTGTTTGTTTCCAGGCCGAAGCGAATGCTACATACTACATGGAGAAGGCGGACAGCTGGCGTCTCCAAAGCTAGCAATATTTGGTGCATCCCTCACTGCTAGCTTTAATACTTACTGACGAAATTGGAGGCAACGATGGCAGTGTGAAACTTGCGTATCGTGTCTGTGTATGCTTTGCTGGTCTCCAGGTTATGAAGATAAATTTGATGTCGTATGAACATACTTGTAGCTGTTGGTAATTCGTGCGTTACCTTCTGGCTGTTACGGGCAAAAGAAGAAGTGGAATCTCTTCTGCCAACGATGAGATTTCAACTGTAACCAAGATCTATCACAATGCCCACACGGCATGAGTAGTGTTGTCGCGGTAGAAAACTTCCCGAAGCTTCGAGGCTACCAAAGCTTCCTTTCTTTGTGTAAAATGCAAGCCAGAACGATTTGAGCTGCATTTACGATGCCATCTTGTACTACGTTGCAGTAGGTCGTTTTCGGCATTTGTGATCATTTCTGGCATTGAAGTGTAGAGGACCAAGTGAAGGGGATAAAGTCCGTTGTGAGTTTACTACATTGTGGTTCAACTCACAACGGACTTTATCCCCTTCACTTTGTGCAACCAGCCTCTTACCTCTGAAAGATATCATTGTTGTTCGCCACACTGTTCTCGGTATCATTCGATCCTCACGATATCGCCATCAGTCCTGTACAATGTTTGACAGCTATGACTATGCTCAAAGGATCACAACAGCGTAGTGTTACCAATGCGTACCCTTGCAACCACACTCTGAGCCATCATCGTATGAGACACAGATCGGTATCGTTTGATATCAAGAAATCACGTAATGACACGCGTATGGATATGGCATTGAGCGGCATTACAACATCACAAAATAAGAGCTGCCAATTGTGCATGCAGTTCTTTTCACTCCAAATGTCGATCTATACAGAATATAGACATGAACGAGCTTGGCTTGGGCTAAGCAGTATCAAATCTCCTCCTTTATGCGTGCTCAACTGAAAAAAATTGAGATTGCTACAGTCAAAGGAGTGCAATGTTATTGTGACCCGTCACGTGCGGTCTCAGGCTGGTTCATTTGTGCTGTGGTACTTGAGATCGCGCTTTTAACCGGTTCTTGCACAGATACTTGAAATGGTGATCACTTGAATAGCATTACTGGCGGTGACCCATTCTGTCGAAACAAGCCTTATGAATGCATCAAGCAAGAATCGAGCAAAGGGGACGAATGTGGGAGGTCAGTAGTCATTATCTCGTTTCAAACACACTTTGGTTTCTAATGACCCCGCAACGTCATCTGTCTTTGTGGAAACCGGACCACTATGCCTGCTGTACATTTTCGTTATCGCAGCAATGAAACTAATCATGCAGCGAGCTACACTTCTGCATATGGAGTGGAAAGTGATGCTCTGGACATCCACTTGTAGTAGACTTTGCATCAGGTTTTCAAAAGCTTGCATCAACAGGATGCTTGAACACTTATTTGAGGATCTCAGTTCACGAATCAAGGAAGGTGGGAGAGCAGTCCAAAGCTTAGCGTATGTGCTACCTGAAGGGTTCAATGTGTAGGTCCATGCCAAATTGCAGGGTACGGAAAATAGCATGTGCACGGCTCAAGAAACTCTCAAGCTCTCTCGGAGTGCAGCTTCACTCGGGTAACTTGCCTTCTGCTCGACTAATAGCCTGCCCTGTTTCCTATCACGTGAGTGAAATAGAAGGTAAAGGTTACGACGTGAACAAATCGATTAGTGCTTAGTTTCCTTGCATTGCACAGTGTCGGTTATTCTAATTCTCTTGGTGCAATCGCTCGGTAGAATCGCGCCACAGCATACTGCAAGCTCTTGATGGAGGTCGAATTCAAGACAAAGACTGAGTCGAAACTGTGTCGCGTAAACGAATGAACACCAAGCTTCCAACTGCTAGTTCGATCGTCATCACACTCTCTTGTTCGGTGCCAGTCGAACAATCCGCTCGACACGTGATGATTCCGAACACGCTGGTACCACAGTTTCTCAACACTATGACTGATGTTAGCTGCACAATGAGCTTACTCCTATCTTGAACTGCATCCCAATTCATGAAGCCCTCAGTCGACTAACACAACAATGTCTGGTCCAGACTATCACTAGTCGTCCCTTTTTCGATCAGAACGAGTGCCGCAAACGAATGTTTTGTAAGCCGCTACCAAAGCTTTCTTCATGCGTAGCTTATTTGTAGATCCACAAGGTGCGAGCAATTCACTGGAATCAGCTGAGGTTACCATCAGCAGCTGCATTTGACAAGATATTCATACAATTATTACTGCATCTTATAGGACAAGTAATGCCAACTTGCTGAGCGGATGATAAACATGCATTTGCCCAGATGACAATGAATTGCTTTTCTTCATGCGCACGGCTTGTGATAACGAAATGCGAGCGAACACTTGCGAGCCAGTCTGAACGCTTTGTGAATACGGTGATCAGTACTTGTGCTACAAGTCATGAACTTGTCCGGGTACCGAAGAACACATCAGCCAAGTCTAGCTCTTGTTGGAAGGTTAGCAGCTTGAAAACAAAGCGTCGCGTCTCCTGTACGTCAATGACACTGACGAGACCCAAAGTTGTTTATCCGACGTCCGGGAGCGAGAAGTTGAACGTGCTTTGGGCTTACAAAGGAGATTCGGCTTTCGGTATGCTGGGCCAAATCTCAGCTCTTGTCGTCTGTAACTTTTCTTTCGAACAACGTGTGATGAGTTTCTTTGGACTTGATGCATTGACGGCCTCGACAAAACGATATGGGAAATCAAACGTGATACCCAGTGATATCCCCTCGGTTGATGTTACAGTCCAAAGCTGCAGAGATCGCGAGCACCGTCGTAATTGCTCTTCATAAACTTGCGAGTCGAAGTGAGGACGGTAAAAAGCTGTACCGAGCTCTACATGAAACGAAAGCAGAGCTCGTGGCACAGCGTCGTGCAGTCAGCCTACAGCTTATCAAGTTCCCGAAGACTTCATCAAGCAGGAGTTTATATATCCTGGCTCAGTCGACATGTCGTCTGTTTTCGCATGGTGTAATGAAGGGTTATTCGCCATTGATACTGCACCATCACCTAAGCAGGTCGTTGCATCCAACAATCCCATCCCATTTCAGGTCAATCCCTGCAAACGCAGCCAATTTCTTGCGGCGCATCTTTCAGCAAAAAAGTGGATAACGTAGCCAAGATACTACTTGATCGCAAAGCATGCTACACGTCCACCACAAGGCACACCCACACCATCCAATTCTCGGTATTCCCGAAACCTCGTGCAGAGTCGCACTTGGTGCCCAGAGTTTTCCGTACGTTCAAAATCAACCAGGCAACCCGTCGGTGAATTTCTCGAGCATTTCTCGTTGCAAGTTCAAGTTTTCAAGCTTTGATGCCTCCTCCATCTCGCCAGCTCGTCCAGTTGAAGCTGTGCTAAGCTTCTTGAGTAAAGTTGTAAACGCTGCACGACGTAACGAAGAGAACTCGTTGATCCACAGATCCTGACCACGTGATTGCAAGATCCTGTGAACGATCGATCGTTGAGAGCAAGTGGACCGACAAGCGGCCGACTCAAGAAGACGTCAGGAGAAGCGGGGACCATGAGACTTAAGAGCGACCACCTCGCCATGTCCTTGGCTGGATACATGTATCGCAGCCTAAAGTCTCCCAGTATCTCAGTGACAACCTCGCAAAACGCGAAGCTCAACCTCGAGGCAGCACCACTTGATGATGAGCGGCTGGCTGCTTCGCCTCGTCCCCCTTTCAATCTGCTGTGGTCGACGTGCATTTCTTCGCCTTTTAAAGGCCGCGTCGTCCAGTCATCCGTTTCAGCCGCGTCTCGCCCAGCCGTAGCGCACGTATCTCACGCGACCCATCACATCGCGGCAAAGCAGCCCATTCATCCAACTGCCTCAACTTCATTCTCGCGTCGAGCCTGAACCAGTTGACAAGTGTCCACCTCCGTCGCTCACTCTCTCGCTGCGTCTCTCAGTGTCTCCCCCGGTCATGGCTAGCAACGCCCAACGCGCCAAGCAAGTTCTCAAGCGCCACGCGCGCACCGCCTTCATCTTCCACTCGACCGTCTTCGCCTCGACACTTGCCGGTTCCTACGCGGCCATCAGCCACGGCGTCGATCTGCAGGCGCTCGCCAAGCACGTGCCGTTCGTAGACCTGACCAAGCTGGACCCGGACGCCGGCACGCTCGCCCTCGCGTACCTCTCCACCCTAGCCACCGGTCCCGTCCGAGGGGCGCTCACCATCGCCGCGACGCCTCTGCTCGCGCGGGTGCTCGCCCGCACGCGCCAACTCCACAAGAAGTAGTCGACACGACGACGTCCCAAACTCATCCCTCTAAAGACAGACCCCTCTCTCCCCTCCTCTCTTCTCCTCTTGTCCCTCCTCCTCTCCTCACTCTCCTTCTCGCCAACCTCCCGCCACCACCCAATGCGTCGCTCGTTCTTCTCCTCCAGTCGTCCACGCGTGACGCCCGGGCGTCAGACGCCTTCGCGGTCCGTTCCCGCGCACATTTCGCGTCCGTCGTACGCCGCAAGCGGCTGCATGTCGGACGCCCCACCGTTCATCCCGCTCCTCGATGCCGAGCAGCAGACACGACTGCGCGCGGCTTGTGCGTTGGCTGGAGCCATCCGCGAGTTCGCCCGCCCGCTGTGTCAACCAGGAGCGACGACGGACGACATCGACCGCCTCGTGCACGAAGAGATCGTGCGTTATGGCGCGTACCCGTCGCCTTTGCACTACGGCGGCTTCCCCAAGTCGCTCTGCTCGTCCGTGAACGAGATCGTCGTGCACGGCATCCCGGACACCCGCCGCCTCGTGGACGGGGACCTCGTGAACATCGACATCTCGGTGTTCCTGCACGGGTTCCACGGCGATACGTCGCAGACGTTCCTTGTCGGAGACGTGGACGACAAGGGGCAGCACCTTGTAACCGTGACGAACCGAGCGCTTGAGGGCGCTATCCAGCACGGCTGCAAGCCTCGGAACCGCTTTAGTGCGATCGGGGACTACGTGCACGCGCTCGCGGACGCTGAAGCCCTTGGAGTCGTGCAGGAGTACACGGGGCACGGCATTGGCGAGGAGTTCCATTGTCTCCCGTACGTCTTGCACCACCGCAACGACGAACCGGGTACGATGCAACCTGGGATGGCGTTCACAATTGAGCCGGCATTGACGGAAGGGAGTCCAGAGGTGAGGTGTAGCTTGGCGTGATGCGTGCATAGAGAGAGAGGTGTAGGTTGGCTTTGGTGCAAGGATGGAGAGGGGTGGGTTCATAGGGGCGAGCAAAGACTCATTCGGGTGGTCATGTGGTTGGGATGCGTGGTGCTAGGTGGTGCGCTGGGACGACGGCTGGACGGTCGCGACGGCCGATGGCGGACGAGCGGCACAAGCGGAACACACGGTGTTGATCACGGAAGATGGCGTGGACATTTTGACGTAGGAGGGCGGTGCAGGATGCAAGGCAAAGGTGCATAGGAGTGGAGCAAGCGGACGGGGGAAGTCCCGTGGTGCTCGACGCTTGCTCGCCGACTTGAATGCCATCATTGCAACTGCAACAGCCACAGCTGCAGCATCTTCCTCCTCCTTTTCTTGTTGTTTTACTGCTGCTGCGTCGTCGTTCGTTCCTGTCTTGGCTCGGGCTCGGTGGACTCGCTCAGTAGCGGTGGGAAGAACGGCACTTGGAGCTTCGTGTCCAGTGGTGCCAATGGCGGGTACTCGCCCTCTTCCTCGTCACCTCGAGTCCTGTCGGGGTCCGTGTGTGCTGCGATGCTGAGCCACGCGAGACTGAGGTACGAATGCATCACGTCCGGGACTGACTCGGGGTACTTGCACAGGCCCCCGAAGGAGAATTGACACGCGTAGATGAACTGCCGACAGCTCGGCGAGTCCACGAGCGCGTGCTCCTGGAGCAGCGCAAGCGTCGCGCCGTTCCAGAAAGCGTAGCACGAGTCCGGGACCTTGTTGAGCCGTCCTTGGAACCCGCCGCAGTCTTGCTGTCGGAACACGAGCCACTGCACGAGCTCCGACTGCTTGCACTTGAGCTGCGTCAATTGCCCCGACAAGGTCAGCGACGCAATGGCAGTGAACACGGCACCCCCGTGCGACTCGGCGCCAGCACAGAGGCCAATGCCTCCATCATAACTCTGCAGCAGCATCAACACCAGCATCAGAAGAAGAGGGAGGAGACTTGATGCACTGCTGCATCAAGAGCAAGACGTACCAAGCACGAGTTGATGAAGCGCACCATCGCCGGCACGTCAATGCCGGACCAGTCGTCCAGGATGTAGGAGATGGCACAGGCGCAGTAGACGAAGCGCATGTCTTGCTCCGATCCCTCATTCACGGACGAGAAGCTACAGACACGAAGGAACCGGACAGGGAAGGAGTGAGTCGCAGTTCAGGTGCCTCCTCCGGCCTTGGTCTTCTTCCTTTGGCAGAATGAGACGTACCATCCCGTGGTGTCATCCTGGAGAGACGCGAGCGCACGTACGATCGCGGGTTTGTCCACGCGGTGGAGATCGTCCCCGAGTGTGCGGAGGATGCAGAGCGCCGCGAACGTGGACGCGACGTTGCTCGTGTCGTACGTGGATCCGTTCGGATGGAGGCGTTCCCGATGCAGGGTCCGCCTCGAAAGCCGCCGCTGCTGGCATGGACGTCGTGGTCGTCTATAGACACTTGGAGGCTGTAGACCCATTCAATGACTTGGTGGCGATCCACGCGCTCGAGTTGCTTGAGCAGCGCGAGTCCGTGGACGCAAAAGAAGGCCAAGACCACGCGCTGCGAGTCCTGAGACGAGTACGGAGCTGGCAGCGAGCGCAGGTTGGTGAGGAAGTACTGGGCATGCAGCTCCCGGTCGAACAACGTCGACGACGCCATCGAGTCAAGTGCGAAGGTTCAGTCGGACACACTGCGAGGTTAAAACAAGGATCGGACGAGGGAATGTGGACGCTGCGACTGCTGCTGCCGAGGTGGCAATGCAAAGGATGGAGTTTACTACGTGGATGCTTATTCAATCTGGAAGACCGCCGAGTTGAGTGGGGACGACGTGCTCCTCTCGTCGCCATCGTCCGGGCGATGGATACGGAAGTCAAACTTGACGTTCATGAGACGCTGGTTGTCGGCACGACGCCTGACCGCAATGTCCCCGACGATGGCGTCCCCTTCACACACTTGGATGGGCGGGTAGAGCGGGAAAACCTGCTGGCCCCAGTGCGTGGGCTGCACAAACGGCGACGTAGTGAGCGTCACGACCTTCTCGGCTGGATTCTCGACGCACCCTCGAAAGTCGACGTCAAACCAGCCGGCAATGCCACCGAAGCGCGCCATGTTGGTGATTGGCATGGAGAACGACGCCTTGACCTCCTTGATGTCGTCCAGCGTGCAGGTCTTGAGGTCCCACGTGGCAAACTCCACCTCGTCGCCAATGAGGTCCCCAGCCCCGAGCTCTTCCCACGACGACGTGTGCAGCGAGTACTGCTCTTGCTCCTTGCGGAAGGCGTTACCGAGCACGCTCATGTCGACGCCCCATGCGTTCTTGGTATTGTCGACAAAGCTGCGCCATCCATCCATTGCGGACGAGAACTCGCTAAAGCGTTTGTTGCTATTGTCCTCATTGCACATGGGAGCGATGGACATGGAAGCATGGGACGGGAACATCGCACCGTCCGACTTGAGCCACCGGTCACGCGCGACAAGAACCGAGTCGAACATGGACTCGCGCAGGAGAAAGTAGCCCATCCACTCAGAGATAATGACGTCCACCTTCTCTGGGAGCTCCACGTCTTCCATCTTGGCTTGAATGACCGTCACGACGTGGTCCTGGCCATTGGCTTTGATCACTTTGCGCGCTTGCACGGCAATGTCCGTCGCTTCCACGGCAAACACCCGTCGAGCACCCGCTTGAGCTGCCCAGATGGCCAGGATGCCGCTTCCTGTCCCCACGTCCAGCACGACTTTATCCTGGAAATGGTTCGGGTTGAGGAAAATCGCGTCCCGGTAGCTCTGCATGCGCAGGTCGTCCGAGAGCATCTGTTTCTGGTGGTAAATGAACGCATACGTGCAAAAGTAGTTGGCAAAGTCCGATGACGACTCCCACGCTTTCTTCCGGTCCGCCGTGACGTCTCGTGGACCATTCGTCGAGTCCGTCATGGGTGACGGGGCAGTGAGTTCGAGTCGCGACGAAGAGCTCCGGTAGGTTGGATAGAGCGGAGCCAGTCAACAGGATGGATACACATGGATATGGGTACATGTCACTCGATCGAGGCTGTCATGTCGTTTACTGGACACCCACTTTGTCAGCCATCATGGACTATCATAAGGATGACCACACCGGCAACTTGAAGCTCGCGTTCCAGACGCTGTGTGGCGACTACGAGGAGCTGCTGGAAGAGGCGGCGCATGCGACTTATGCGACCGATGAGCGCATTGGCCTGGCGCTGTTCAAGATCGACGAGGCGTGCGCGGTTGCTGACGAACTGCGACAGGTAGCGCAGCAGATCCAGGAGCAGCTACTGGACCAGCTGTTGAGCAATTGCTACGAGCTGGAAGAGATCTTCTTGCGCTTGAATGTTATTGAGGTGACATTGCAATAGAAGCAATCGAAGCAACGATGATGGTGATGATGGTGATGGGGTGGAGTTTTGAGAGAGGTTGATGGGTGTGTGTGGTGTGTTTCGGTACGTAGCGTTTTGTGGGTCGGATGCTGGAAACCACACGGGAGCTGGAGAAGCGGACGGAGAGCGCGAGTTGCAGTGCTGGCGTGTTGCTGAATTCGAGCCCGAGTGTTACGAGTTTGTTGCGGTCTTTCTCGATCAAGGTGCGGACTGTTGCTGGACTGGGAGGGATTAGTGGTTGAGAGAGAGAGAGGGATGGGGATTGATGAACAGGTCAATGACTGGACTGCTGCTGCTGCTGCTGTTGATGATAACTATGCGGTTGTAGCGTGGGGCGTCGGATGCACCTTTGATCGAGAGCAAGTGGAGTCCTGTGGCGTTTACCTTCAGCACGACGGAACTCATGGAGAGGCTGGAGAAGAGCGATGCGCGAGCTCTGGGCGTGTCGATTGCGTCTACAGTTTCTGCTGGGTCTGCGATCACGAGCGAGCAAGAGTGTCGTGACGAGGAACAAAGCGAGACATGCATAGATTCCGACTAAATGAAGTGTAGCCATGTTGCGTTTTTGGGCACTTGCGACATCGACTTTGAAACCGCATCGGCGAAACGAGCACACGTACTTAAAGCAGCATCCGCACTTAGCGAGTGAACAGATGGAGCCCGTTCGGCGAAATGTCGTGCTCGTCGATGCAGTTGGCTCGCTAACGGCCGATGGCGAGCGTCTCTTGGAGCAGGAACTGGACCAAGAGCGACTTGCGATTGTCTCGTTTCTAGGCCCGCCATCGACTTGCGCCGTGCGGCACAAATTAATCGCCAAACTGCTGGATTCCGACCATAAATTGCGGGATATTGACGATAAATTACTGGATAGTGACCATAAATTGCGGGATATTGACGATAAATCGCTGGATAGTGACGATCAACAGCTGGAAATTACAGGAAATGTCGGAGTCTCAAGTGGCGGCGATGGGCTCGTGCTGCTGGCGAGTGTCACGTGCATTGAACGTGATTTTCAAGTGCTGATACTGAGTTTCAACGTGCTGGAGATTGATGTGGACTTTGGACCACTCACTGGCGCGTTCTGTGCTCTGTCGTCGCTCGTTGTGTCGTGCTATGACGAGTCCGTGTCGATGCAGTGCCTCGCTCCGTTTCTGCCTCCGTTCCAGTCACTTTTCCAGACTCTGGTCAAGGACTTTACGACAGTGGAAGTGTCTGAGATACTGCCCAAGATGCTGCACATTGACCTATCTTCTAGTCACTCGCTCGCAGCAGAAGAGCAGGAGAGCTTGGATAGTGTTGAAGCACTTGCGAGTCTTGTTCGGCTAAAGAGAGTCGGGGTATTGTATCCTCAAAGCGTTGCAGAGATGGACTTTGACGAGTTTTGTAACTCATACGTTGCGGTGAAGAAGTTGTTTGGGCTAGATCTGACGGGGGAGATGCTGGCTTCCCTACTTTGCAAGCTGTCAGTTCAGGTGTCTCGTCAAGATCCTATCGACTTTGGAACTGCCTGGGACGACTTTGTGGAAGAAAAGTGTCGGGATGTGGCGAAGGATGCACTAAGGACTTATGAGGATTGCGTGCGCCCGTGCGTGTTAGAGCATCCGCCCATGGAGCTAAACGCGTTCAAGCAATTGCATGACGAGATTTGGCGTCTGAGTATGGACGTTTACTGTTCTGCTAGCAAGTATAAATCCGCAAGGCATCGTCAAGTGCGCCACAAGCTTAAGAATGACATTCGCACGTGCTACGAGACCGAATTAGGTGTCCTCACCGAGATGTCGCGGAAATTTTGCGAAGAGATCCGACAGACTCTCTGGACAGAGCTCTTTACCCGTGCGCGAGATAGCGAATCGTTTCCCGCCATGTTAGCTGCAATTCAAGACTTTGACAAGCAGTATGATGAGAGGGCACGAGGTCCAGAAAAAGCTTCTGTGTTACGTGACTTCTACCAGCAGGAGGTAATTCAAGCCTTTCAAGAGCTTGAAGTTGTCGTGACGCGGCAGCTCAGTGAGTCCCGTCTGAAAGGGTTGCGGCTACAGCTCGAACAGGATTTCACAGACAAGAAGGAGGCTCTTGTGGAGCACTTTAGGAAAGAGGAAGCACAGTTGCGCGTGCGAATGGCGCAAGACATGGAGACGATGCAAAAGATGTGCGAAGCCAAGACGGCTCGTGTCAACATCGGTGGGAGTGAGGTCAAGCAGCTTCGAGACGAGGTGAACGAGATGAAACGTCAGAATGCTGAGCTTCAGGAAAAGGCGATTGTACTGGAACATGCCCGGCAAGATGCAATAACCCAAAAGGAAGTGTTTGCGACGGCTGTGGATGACCTGAAAGATGCAGTACATCGCGAGATGGCAAATCGTACCGAGCTCGTAGAAACACTCGCATTGACAGTCAAGAGTGCTGAAGAAAACGAAAAGATGCTGAATGAGAAGATAGCGGAGCTTCAGGTTGAACTTGGAGAGAAGACGTTTCGCGTCGAGGGTGAGCTGCACGACATGACGCAACAGCTTCGCAAGACCAGTGAGGTGAGGTACAATCACGATTGCCTTAGATAGAAAAGTCACTTACGAGGTGTTTCTTGTCATGCTTGTTTCTGCCGTACTACTTGCAGGAAAAAGATGAGCTTCAAAAGAAGCTTACCGATATTTTCTTAAAGGTGACAGCGCTACCCGAGGCTCTACAACAGCATCTTTTCAGCATGGATAACGATAGCCGGGCTGACTTTGCAGACGTCCTGGCAACCTACATGAGCCAATAGAGAACTTCAGATCACGCCTGAATGTTTTGCTCCTCGTTACGGTAATGGGCGTTCGAGGTATAGCAATTGCCATTTCTGTAGTCGAGCCTTGGCGTAAGTGGTTAGTGTCAATACTCAGCATGTGTTGACAGTGTTATTTACAAGAGCCCGGTCGATGCTGTCAAGCACAATGTGACCGTACGTGTGTTAGCGTCATGGCGGGCAAGATGAAGTTTCACGAACCAGCTGGACCACTTTACCCACCTACTTGACATGCTTTTGCGTGCAGCGTTTCAAGACTGCCTCCAACGTGTCAGCCGGATGCTTCTCCCCCATCTTGGAGTAGATCTGAACCAGCACGTGCGCATCCAACGCAGCGTAATGCAGCTGAGCTTGCGTGAGTGGGCGGCGTTCCCAATTGGACATACGCACGCGCTTGTCCAAGGAGAAACCCAGATAGCTTTTGGCGACGGCTGCCAGGCCCAGGCGGGAAGGTTTGACAACGGTATCGTTTTCGCCAGTTTTGCTTCGCTTTTTCTGCCACTTTCTCTGTTTCGACTTGGCTCCCGACACTCCGCTGTCGGTTTTCTGAGCTGTTGGCACTTCTTCTTTACTGGACGTGTCGTCGTTATCGTCGGCCGCCGATATGGCTTCTGATTCATCGCCGCACTGGAGGATTGGCAGCTTTCGCGTTATCGTTTGTAAATCCACGAGCATCGACATGATGTTGTCAGCCGCGTACCCTCCCGTCAAAAAAGGACGTAGTGCCTTCACATCGCCTCGTGTATCAAACCCGATCTTGAGCACCGATTCCGACCGAAAGAGCGGGGCTAAGATATGTCCGTGATCGAACAGCGCCACCACGTCCACGACAAACGCCTTTTCACGGGAAGCTAGCTGCAGGAGCGCACACTTTGCAGCGCTATCGTTCGGGGCAGTCGAAACATGCACCGCTTTCCACTCAGAATCAAATCCAATAGCTGGCTGCATAAGGAGATAATCAGTACATGCCTGCAGCGCGAGCGGGGTATCTACAAAAACAATATTGGCTTCACCAATGGTGTCAGCGAGCGACAGACACGAGTCAAGTGGAGTCGGCTCGTCCTCATTCTTAAACTGCATGCCCTCCTCGGCACTTGTGTCGACTTCGGGAAACTGGTCGGCATATCCTGCGCGGAAAATGAACTGCTTGGTAGCTGGGTCTTCCGGTCCAACATGACGCATGATCATTTTGCAGGCGTATAACTTCAGCCAGTCCAACTTCTCGACAAACTGCAGCGCTTGCTCGTACTCTTTCGAGTGCATTAAAAACCTCAGTGTCGCCGTCTGTCGCCTACAAGAAGAAAACAACACATCACAAGCGCACTGTCACTTGAGCTCTTCAACTCACTTGAGCACTTCAACTCACTTAGCATAACGCCGTACCGTTCAAAGTATGCTGGAAAAGCACTCGCCGGCAGCTTGAACAGCGAGAGGCGTTTCTTGATCACTTTATCATGCACGTTGGCATCAATGAGCAATTGCACAAACTGCTCTTGTTTCTCTCGACAGCCTTTGACAAACACGTCGCCCGTCCGAAAGTCCTGCTGCTTGACCACCTGATGCAGCACCACGTCCGCCGACACGAGATCCTTCATCTTGAGGCACTCCATAAAGCGGACAGCCGTCCCCACACTTTTTGGTAGCAGCAGCTGGGAGCAGAAAGCAGCCAGCGCTTCGGTATCCACTTGAAAAGCGAGTGCAAAGTCGGCCACGAACGGCGCGCGCGAGCGCTGGAGCGCTGGCAGCATCGACGCGGCCACTTGCCTGTCGCTCAGTGAGATCCGTGAGGTTCCTGCGCTCTTATTGCTGCTATTAGGAGCTTGGAGACACGCGACGGCAGCTGAAATCCAGTGCGAGACGGACGCCACGTGCTTATCAGGGAGCTCCCTGTACAGCTGGAGACACTGGAGGAACGCCGACGGCGCGTGGGCCACCGAGGCGAAGGCCAGCGCGATCTCCGTCTGCACTTTGCCTGCGTCCCACGTCTGCATCGCTTCCATTGCGTCTTGCAGTCGCTGCTGCTCAAACAGCAGCGCGAGGGGCGTCTCGTCTGTGGACGCTACGCCCGACGCGTCGCCATTGGGGGCGGGGGTCGTCATGATTCGAAATGAGAGGGAGCAGCAATCGGTTTTGAGAGGGTTAGTTGCAGTTGTACCCATGTCCGAGCATCGTCGTCGGAGGTCTCCCGAGCGTCGGACGGCTCGCGATCGCGGGCGGCAGCAAACGAGACGACGGTCGCGCTCCCGCTCTCTGCCTCAGGAGGTTGAACGACGCGAGCAGAAGAGGCAGCGACTGCGACCGCGGGCGCGCTCACCGCCGAGTCAAGCGCGCCACGGGGACAAGAAGACGCGTGACTTTTCGCACTTAGTCGAGTACGTTGTTGCGGTTCCTGCGACATGTGGAACGGCGAGACGCTGGGTAGTGCGGCTCTTTGTATGTGTGGTCTGAAGGAAGACTGAGGTTTGTATGGACGTCTTTGTGCATCTTAGATGGGGAAAGCAGGAGGAGAAGGACGGGAAGGGGGAAGAGGAGCTGGTGGAGGTGGAGAAGCCGAACTTTGGACTCACGGGCGCGCTGGCCAAGGACCAGACGACGGGGAACATGCAGAATGGCGTCGTGTTGAAGTTCTCTGAGCCTTCTGAAGCTCGACCGCCGACGAGACGCTACCGGTTGTACGTGTTCAAGGGCGACACGAACATTGGTGCGTTGCTGGCAGCTTTGATGTTTTTGTAGCTGGATGAGGCCGGTGTTGGACGTGTGGTTGCTGCTGACTCGTGGTGTCTGTGTGTTGAGGCAGCGACGCTTCATGTGCACCGCAAGAGTGCGTTCCTGATTGGACGTGACAAGGCCGTGGCCGACATTTTGACAGAACATCCGTCGTGTTCGAAACAGCATGCAGTGCTGCAGTACCGCATGTACCAGAAATCAACAGCGGACGGTCTGGGCTTCGAGCAGGAAGTGCGGCCTTACATCATGGACCTCAACAGCACCAACTCAACCTTCCTCAACGGCCGCGAAATTGAAGGCTCGCGGTATATAGAGCTCAAGGAGAAGGATGTGCTGAGATTCGGTGAAAGCACACGTGAGTACGTGCTCATGCTGGCCGCCTAGCTGGACAGTACGACGCAGGCAGCAGCAAATGGAATGACACACATTATGATATCGAGAAAACTGATGCAAAACGAGTGGCATTGAGTCTGCATATGAGCAGTTATCTATGTGCTAGAAGCACACCACTACGTCGGCGAGGACCGCAGAGAAGGGGCCGGCAATCAGAAGGGAGCGCTTAAATTAGGAGTTGCTCGATCTGCTCGCGCATGCTCTGGATCTGCGGGCCCAGCTGCGAGGCTTCGTTGGTCGTGATCGAAGCTGCGATCACGGGACGCGACACGCCGCAAGCACGTCCCAGAGCGACCTTGGACGGTACGAACACGTACGGCACGTTCTTGTCTTCACACAGAAGTGGAAGGTGCAGCAAAATCTCCAGCGGTTCCGTGTCAGCCGCCATCACAATGAACTCGGAGATGCCGCGGTTGAGCGTCTTGGTGGCTTCATTGGCGCCCTTTCTGATCTGCTTGTAGTTGGCGGCTTGTTGCACCAAGTCCAGGATGGACACCGTCAACTTGGCGTCCGCGAGCGGGTACGCTTTGGGGTTCACAGCAGCAACGTCGGACATGATGGCGGTTGGTAGTTGGAATGCCCTTGCTCACGACCGATGGATCACTGCACGGAAACAATTCAATACTGAGCGTAGTGCATCCCAAACACCTTTCGACGCTTGTTAACCAGTCAATCGATTCGGCGTAGCCACCCGTTAGTGGTCAAAAAAAGAACACTCCCACACAGCGATGGACCCATAATTTGGGCAGCAATTCGCTTTCTCCATATGTTGCCACCGCAGAGGTCACCCTATCGTGTTCGTATAAGTTGACACGTCGCTCGCACCCTCGTATTTACGCCTCCGAGTTCTTTTTACGACCTCCCCGCAACGTCGTGACGCAGCGCGTGCCAACAATCGCTTCAGTAGGTTCCAGTCGAGACATGGAGCAGCGAGCGCTCGTCCAGCTCGCGGTCTTGGCGTCGCTCGCCACCATCAGCGCCTTTGTGGCCGTTGGGCTCTTCCGGAAACGTCACCACCACCAGCAGCAGCAGCTGCAGCAGCTCAAGCAGCAGTCGCTGGACCATGTCAAGCAGTCGAAGGAAGTGGAAGTCACGCGTGAGAGGCCGTCTCTAGTGTCCCAGACAGAGGTGTCCCCCCTCCCTCCTCCTCCTCCTCCTCCTCCTGAGCTGCCACCGGTCGTGAACTTGGGGGAGGCCGAAGCCACTTTAGCTACCAAGAAGTACAAGGCCGGGGACTTTGACCAAGCTATTGAGCTCTACTCTGTCGCCATCTCCCTCGGTGAACAGCAGCAGCCGCTGGATGTGCGCAACCTCAAAGTCATGTACTCGAACCGTACAGCTGCGTACGAGAAGCTCCAGGACTATACGAACGTCATTGGGGACTGTGCGAAGGCGTTGCAGCTGGACAACCGACACACCAAGTCGTACATGCGTCGAGCAAAGGCGAAAGCTGCTCTGGGAGATCTGCGTGGCTCTCTTGTGGACTACGTCTGTCTCTTGGTGATTGCAGAGGAGAGACAGGAACAAGTGGACGAGACCTTGGCTCAGGAGATCAGCCGCATTCATAATGACATTACGGTGAAGGAGATTGAGGACGCCCAGCAGAACAAACAGAACCCCGTGCGGTACCTCCCGGACCAGTTCTTTGTCACGTCGTACTACTCGTCGTTTCATCCGAGTGACGATGAAAACGACGTGGTGCCGGAGAAATCGTCCGAGGAGTACACGGCAGAGCTGGAGGCTTTGGGAACAGCAGACGAGGACTCTCGTGCGCAGCGTGGTTTGCTGCTGACGAAGCGGGGACTTGCGTTAAAGAAGGAGAGGGACTACGACATGGCTGCCAAGGACCTCGCTGCAGCGTGCAAGCTCGTCCGGTTTGAAGAAGAGGCGTATTACACGGCTCAGATTGAGAATGGCACGTACCACCATTTGCGTGGCGAGTTTGAGCTCGCTCGGAAGTCGTTCGAACAGGCTCTGGCAGCAAAGCCGTACTCGGTCTTTGCCAAGATCCGCATGGGTGGTCTCTGTTTCGACCAGAAGGATCTGAAGAAAGCGCTCGAGTGGTTTGACAAGGCTCTGGCGGAGAAGGCCGAGTGCTCGACGGCGCATTTTCACCGTGGACAGCTCCACTCTATTGACGTCGCGCCCGATGGAACCAGTAACGAAGAGTCGATGGCCGCGGCCCTTAGCGACTTGGAAACCTGCATCAGTCTTGCACCGGATTTTGCCATGGCGTACATTCAATTGGGTGTCACGCACGCGCGAAACGGTAATTTCCAAGGCGCTGTTGACTACCTCACGACAGCAGCCCGCATTACGCCCAATGTGCCGGAAATCTACAATTATCTGGGCGAGACGTACATGCAGATGCTGCAAGCTCCGGATAGTGCTGTTGATCTGAAGACCGTCGAGGAGATGTTCGAGAAGGCGATTACGCTGGATCCGTCGTACCCGATGGCATACATCAACCAGGGCAACCTGTTGGTGCAGAAGGGCACGGAGTACGGCCAGCAGGCGCTTGCTCTGTTTGAAAAGGCTGTCGAGATGTGTCCTCGCTCCAAGTTCGCCTACTGCCACCTCGCCCAAGTGTACATGGCAATGCAAGAGTACTCGCGCGCGATCGAGCAGATCGACAAGGCCGTGGCGTTTGCGTTTAGCAAGGACGAGCTGAACGAGTTGTTTGCCATCCGCGTGACGGCCGAGACCCACCAGCAAGCGTCCGAGCTGCTCCACTAGTTTTCGTTCTTGTCCGTCCCAGACATCACCATCGACTTGGACCGCAGGACACTCGGTGCCACTCCGATGAGCAATAAAATACAGCGTGCAAAGCCCACTGCAGCCTATAGTTAGCACCACCACATTGGCACGAGCTCACTACTCGCCTGTGTCTCTCACCGTGACACTCTCTCCTCTCTTCTCCTCCACCCAATTCTGCCATGACGCTCACCATCCAAAGCGAGCATGACCAGCACGTCGCCTCACCTGCTGGCTGTAGGCATCGTCACGATCTGCGGTGGCGGGAATGGCGCCCACGTAGCAGCCACGTACTTGGTGTCCAAAGGCGTGCGCGTGCAGGTGTTGACTCGCCAACCGGAACGCTGGGCGCAGACGCTGGAGCTGAGCACGGCTGGCAGCAGCTGGGAACCCAAAGGCACGATCACGGGTCGCCTGAGCCTCGTGTCCAAGCACGCCAAGCACGTCGTGCCTCAGTCCGACGTCGTCATTCTCGCGGCACCTGCCAATGTCCACCCATTGATCCTGGAGCAAGTCGGGCCTTACCTCAAAAAGGGGGTCAAGCTGGGCACGTTGTTTGCTCAAGGCGGCTTTGACTGGGCCGTGCAGAAGGCGCTCGGAGAAGACCGACTTGCCAATGTCGATCTGGTACGGAAGACACGAGCTGCTTTAGAAGCTGCCTTGGCCACGAACTGACTTGAGTTTGTTGCTGTGGTCACCGTCCCGGGTGTCGCTTCATCATTCTCTTTGTTGCTTGTTCCTGCAGCTCTTTGGTCTGCAGAACATCCCGTGGATCTGCAAGGTGACGGAATACGGGTGAGCAGCTCGAAAAACTACTTGGTGGATCACCTCTGTGTGTGCGTGCGTGAGCTTGACCATGTGCTAACGCGTGTGTGAGCTGCGTCTGTAGCCACAAGTGCCGCATCATTGGACCCAAGCAGTGTCTGTACGTGGCTTGCTACCCCGTCGAGCGCAAAGCAGAAGCTGCGACGCTCGTGCAGACGCTGTTTGACATTCCGTGCAAGACCGTGGCCAACTTTCTGAACTTGACGCTCACGTCGTCGAACCAGATCATCCATCCAGCTCGCTACTACTCGATCTTCCGTGACTGGGACGGCAAGAGGACGTACACCCTCGAGGAGCTCAAGAACCGCAAGGGTCTCACACTGTGTACGTTGTACCCGCTCTACCTTCTCGTCCTTCCTTGACTGCTGCTTCACTCTTGAACAAAACGACGTGATACCATCGACTGTTGACTCTAGATGCGGACTTTGACGAGTTTGCTGCTGAGCAGCTGGCAGCTCTGGACAACGAACTGCAGCAAGTCAAGCACGCTCTCCTCCAGCGGTTTCCAGCTCTGGACTTGTCGGACGTGCTGCCCATCGGAGACCGAGTGGTGAAGCACTACGGCAAGGACGTGGCCGATTGCTCGTCCCTTTTGCAGATCTTCCGCACGAATTTAGGCTACGCCGGATGCGCAACGCCCTTGACGGAAGTGTCCAAGGGGGCCTTCCATCCAGCCGTCAACTCGCGTCTGTTCTGGGAAGACATTCCCTACGGCTTGTGCATCCTGAAGAACATGGCCGAGCTACTGGGCAACTTCCCCACGCCTCGGATCGACTTTTTGATCCGCTGGCACCAGCGTCACATGGGCGTGGAATTCCTCACTCCTGACGGACAGCTGAACGCCCGGGAGCTGTGGCGTACAGGAGCCCCCAACAAGTACGGCATCCACAGTCTGGAAGACCTCGTCTCGACGTCCCTGCCCAAGGAAATGCAGCACTACCGTCACCCGCGATCGCGAATGTAGTTCCTAGTAGCTCTGCCGTAGCGACTTAGACGCCGAATGGGGTGGACTATACTCAGGAATTGGGTTCGCACTTGAGAGAGATGAGTGCGAGAGCCCTACTAGAGTCTTCCTGTCTCTTGCTTTCTGGAATCGAGCTTTGTCTAGAACGAGCTGGTCGTTGTATTGTGTTGCTGCTTACTGGCTGTGCTCCTGTCTGCTTAGCGTACAACGTTGTGCTTGGAAGTGCGGAAACGGCGGGATCCTGATTGACGAAGAGAGCGTGGTCCTATGCAGTTGATGTTTGTATAGTCGCGCTGCTGTCAGGTCTGAACTCGTCGTCCTACGTACGGGCCATGGCATCCTGGTGAACTGATTCAGTTGGAGAGGTTCAGATGTGGCCGACGGACGATACGCAGGATGCGGGCTCGGTTTGAATCGGTATTTCGTACTTACCTGAATATTCTGGCTGAACTAAGGCCAGCGCAGGTCTGGATAGAGCTACTCGATGAGGGGGAGCAGATACACTATAGAGTATGTAGCTCTACATAACGCCAAGTGCTGTTTTGATTCGTCAGAGATGTGCTCGAATCATGATCAAGCGAAGCAGGTTACGTAGGTCTCTCGAAATGACGTCGATATGTCCCGTTCTAAACTGAATTTTTACTACCCGAGGATTACGTTTTCTTGTGTGCATGTAAGATCCTTTTCGTCTACACGTGCATGGAAATGATTACAGCACTGTATACGAATGGAAAAGTATACGAGCATACAGCTGCTACTGCAGACGGCGGCTACTTGGCAGAAAATGTGTCCCGAATGTGCTAATCAAAACGCCGTGGTCCTTCTGAATCGCACGTTTGCTCCTCACCAATGTATGCGTTCAAACTTTTACCCTTGCTCCATCAACTTGTTTTTAGTTGTTGCTTGATCTGCTGGTGCTGCTGCTTGAATAGCGCTGAAATATTGTGGAAAGCGACCTGCCGCAATGCATTGACCTGCTTGGTCGCCTTTCGCTTGTTGCTGCAGTTCACCTGTGACGCAACAACAATCCAAGCACAGTTCAACGAAAGTGGTAGCTATGACAAACAACGAGCAGCCTACCGTTGGAATGATTGCACGAGGGTTCACCACTTTGACGAAGTCGCAGAGCTCAGCGAAACTCGAGTGCTCGCTGTACGGAAGCCCGTAGACGTGAATCTTGCCTGTAGGATTGGAACAACAGGTCGACATTTTCCGCGGATTCTTGCTGCTGAACGTCCACCCGGTGGGGCGGAATGCCACAATGGACCGGTACCGTAGACGATGCTTTGCTAGCAACACCGTCAAATTGTCCATTTGAAGATCCTGCATACGTACAACATGCAAGCTGTCAATGTTTGCCACCGAAACAGCATGTTAGCAGCTGTCGTCGTCATCAAATGCGTTCCATATCAATGTATGTCGTACTTGGTCGCAGCCGATTCTGTCGTCAGCAGTTGCATCTCTTCACGAGGCCAGCCAAAGTTTCAATTATTCTCAACTTTGCTCTCGAGACGCACACCTTCTTCCGGTACTTGCGTGCAATCTCCATGAACAAGCGCTCTTTGCCAATTGTATACGATCCAAACAGATAAAGCACCTTTTCCTGCTTCCAGTGATCGTCCATGAGCTCGAGTGCGTGTTTAATGGCCGCTTGCTGAGTTGGAAACGTGTACTTAGGATCACAGTAGGTCGTATCCAAATACACGCCGTCCAGCCGGCTGATCCCAACAATCTTACCTGTATGATCAATAGCTTCATCGCCCGTCGGAATGTGTGGCTGCAATGCAGCATAGTTTAGCATCTTCCTGTGAAATCTGAAATCTCCAGTGTGTAGGTAAGTTCTCCCGTCTTTCAGACGAAACAGGATGATAGCTGAACCAGGACAATGGTTCGCGTCCAAGAAGGTGACCTGCACGTCACCGACAAGCACAGGTACGTTCATCCCCACTGGGTGAACGTACTTTTGCTGGACACCAAGCTCTTGGACGACGAGCTTCGCGGTAATTTCGTTGCAGTAGATAACGCCGCAGTCAAAATCCTACCGTACCAACGCGTAAGATTAGAATCACGCAGACCGCACAATTATGGCACGACCCACCTTAGTGATTCCACCATAGTGATCGGAGTGAAAGTGCGTGAGGAAGTAGATGCTAGAGTGTTGTTTGCAAGCGTAGTGGAACCCGTCGACGATGAAAGGCGGGCTCGTTCCTTGGATACACTTGTAATCAGGGTACAACAGGCGGCGTCGTTGCACTGCTTTGCGTGTAAATTTAAAAGGCACGGGGCGCTTTCGAGCATCGAGTACAGCAGCCGTTTTCGAGCTCCGCATCAAAACGTCAAAGACGTTCGATCTCTCTGCACGTATCCACGAGAGACAGAACCCCGTCTAGTCAGCACATGCACTGACTGCAGCAACACACTTGCCACACACATACCCATCGAAGCGGTCTCTGCTGTTGCTTTTCCAGCTGCCGACTGCATCATGACCATAAACGCGTTCGACGCGTCCTTCTCGTCCAGTCTCGCCACAATCGTCTCTGTCTGCTCCACGTCCGCCATATCAGCAGCTCTCACGCCAAACTTCTGGCCACACAACTTCACGTGACGAATGCGGTGCACCAGATCGACGCTGGACATGTCGATACCGCAGATTTTGCATACGTAATTGGCTTCAAAGTACGCGCTGTCGCTTGTCTCTGCCTCCTCCTGCGTCAACTGCGCCACCTGTGTCAGCTGCACCTCCTCTTGCGCCTCTGCCCCGTCTTCCTCTTCTTTTCCAACAGCTTTATCGTGTTTACGTACACTCATATCGCTGTCATACGTCTCTTTTCTGTCCAGACAGCGGTTCACGTGCTCCAAGCGCTGGCGTTCGTCGCAGTGTGAGAGCTCTTCGCCACAAGTGGGACAGTCATATCGCTGGTCAATGGTCGCTTCATCTAGACACTCATTCACGTGTGTCTCGCGGTCCGCGACGCTCCACGGCGTCATGTCTATGGAGCACACGACGCACCGCGGCAGCTGTGTCTCGGCCATGGCGACAAAAGGACCTGAATGCAGCCACGGGATTGGTCAAAAGTGAGGCTGTATACACATGTGGTTCTGACTAACTCAAAGCAGTACTACCAAGAGCTATCGTCCATCGGATTTGTTTTATGTCGAGAGAGAGAATAAAAGGGTCATATCCATAGATACAGACATACGTTCGTACGAATATGATCAAGCACCTGCTCGTCCTGTCGACTGGGCAGCACGTGGGCAAGACGACGCTGAGTCTTGGACTTGTGAAGACACTGCAGAGCAAGTTCCAGGGATCGGGAAAGCAGCTGGCGTACTGCAAGCCTGTGGGACAGCAGCACGTGGCTGTGGGCGGAGGGCTTCGAGTCGACAAGGTGCCGAGACGGGTGGTCTGCTATGACCATCATTACTACTATTATCACCACCATTACTACTTTTTAGAATCAGTAGCATTACTATTATTAGGAGTCTATTACTATTTTTACAACTACTATTTTTAGAATGGGTAGAAGCGCGACTGTGCTGCATGATGCATACAGTGTATCTAGGTTTGTGTCTGATGCAGGAAGATGTACTTACTGACGGTATTGTGTGTGCTTGTTGGGAATGGTAGGATGCGTTCCTGTTCAAAGAGCACTTTGGGCTTGTGCAAGAGTATAAGGACATGTCGCCCGTTCTCTTTCCCGACGGCTTTACTCGGGATTTCATCGACGGCAAAGTCACGTCGCAGCAGCTCATGGATTCGATCCGAGTTGCCCACAGAAATTTGTACGCGCAGAGCGACTTTCTCATTTGTGAAGGCACGGGACACACTGGTGTGGGCTCAATCTGTGAGCTCAACAATGCACAAGTCGCAGGTAGTGGCTACAGTAGATTGTAGATTGCTACATTGTTTGTTGGCTGACTCGATGCTGTTGCTGCTGTTGCTCTACAGCGGAGCTCAAGCTTGACGCAGTTTGCGTGGCTCTCGGTGGATTGGGCTCGTCATTTGACCAGCTGGCAATGAACCGGGAGATGCTAAAGCAGAATGGCGTCCGACTACGCGGTGTGATCCTCAACAAGGTCAATCCGAAAAAGATGGACATGATCAAGGTACAGACTGTCGTGCTGTCAGCGCGAATGCTGCATAGATAGATACACACTCACGACCACCTTTTTGTATATGCTTGTGCTGTAGGACTATTACTCGCGAGCTTTGAAACGCTGGGACATTCCACTCGTGGGTTGCATTCCCGACTTGAAAGATCTGTCGTGTCCGACAATGGCGGACTACGCCAAGCTGCTCAAATCGAAGCTCATTTCTGGTGCGTGTGGTCGATACTTGTGTTGATCATTGGCATGGGCTGATCGTGTTTTGTTTTGCTTTCCGTGCTACAACAACAGGCAAGAGTGCAAGTCTGCGTTATTTCAGCAGCACACGACTGGCTCTTGCCCCTGTGGATGGCAATAACCTGTTTAAGGCGATCCCGAACCAACTTGTAATCACGGTACGATAGATGTGCTCTGTTGTCTTTTATCGAGCGGGTCTTCACCCTGATTGATTGACATGTGCAGCATAGCGGGCGGAAGGACGTGATCGACGCGATCATTGGCAACGAAGAAGCATCTTCTACGCACGGCAGGAACCTCAAGTCGGGTCTAATTCTCACCGGTTGGAACCCTCCCAGCACAGAACTCGCCCAGCGTCTCGACGCGGATAACATCCCGTGCATCTACGTATCACCGGACAAAGCAGACAGCTACACGATCACGGCGCGGATCTCTCAGTTCACGGCTAAGATCCGACGTGATGATGTTGAACGGATAGATTTGGCTGCGGACCACGTCTCGAAGCACTGCGATTTTAGTTTTCTAGACGAGTAATTGGATAACGGGTTGATGATGTACCTGTGACCTGTCTGTAGCTTGGACGTGCGTGTATCCTCAATAGTCGCGAAATTCCAAGACATGCAAGTCTAGCATGTTGTATGTAAGGGTTATGCGGCACCGTTGTACTCGTTCTAATGTTCCTTGCCAACTTTGGGGATGACGATCCATCGTGAATGAATCAGTCATTTATGGACATTGAGGTTAATCGTGAAAGAGTCGGCAATGACAATTTCGACAGAGCCACATGGTCCGCCTGCGAAAGCTTGTCAGATGAAGGCTTAAACTCTAGTCGGTCAACAGAATAATCTACAAGTCGTCCTGTGGCTATGGAAAATGCAAGCTTGTGTCGTTCTCCTAGCCAAGCATTCACAGCTGCAAAACAGTCGACAGCTCGATCGCCTTGAGTTAGCATGCGAGCCATTCTGCTTCTCGAATCGCACTATGTTTCATCACGAACAGGAAAAAATCATGTAACATAGAAATAAACAAGGCTGGCGCCTTGCTAGCTGCTATACTGGAAAGTGACTGACCCTCAGCCACCGTTTCGCACATTCAGTTGGGCTTGCTGTCGCGAGAGTCTTAGATTGATAGGGAACCCTAGAATTTAGAGCTTAACGTCAACAACTGAGCGTGGCATGTTATTGATCGCACTCGTACCGGAGCCGATGGTCTTCATACCAGCCACGGGTGCGTCCCGTCTATCGACCGCAGATAATTGTGCTAGCTGGGCCTGTGAATGAGATGGAACATGGCAAAACAGTCAACTTTCCATCCAATGTGTCCCATTAATTCCTTTGCCTAGTCGCAACCAACTGTCATTCATCAGTAAAGAAAATAAGATAACGGTAGGGGTTCTCGCAGATCAACCGTTCCAAATGCTATCGACATTCTCATAGAAGTCATCAATTCGTTCAACTTGTCAGCACTGATACTGTAGGAGATTTAGCAAAGGAGGAGAACCTAAAAGTGCATCGAGCTCCATCAAATACTTCTCAATCTGGTACTCTGTGATATGCCTCACGTACTTGACTTCTGCACTATTGTTTTCGCTGTCCCGGACGACGATCCAGACGCTGGTCCGTAATGGCTCGATTGCGCATAATCGCCTTCCCATTGTCATTCTGGATACAACACGAACTTAGCGTCACAACTGGTCAGAAATTCGGTAGAGTACATTATGGGCGCGAGGTATTTCATGCGAGATAGTGGTCACGACCATTTTGCAGCGTTCGTGGACATGATGCAGTACGACATGTGTGTGTCCATACTTGATACTGTAACTCTACTTCTTCATGTCTGCCACGTGCCATTGTGCTTTTTGAGATAGATGTGAGTTGCAAACTATCATCTCCGTCTCCAAAAACAGTGACTCAACAAACGGAATGAACTATCACAGCGTCCTGCCCCAGGACCACGTCACGATAGATGTTACACTGCATCTCATTCTGACAGTCTTCCTAGAAATGGTCGTTTTAGCTACGTGTGGTACTGAGTTCTTTGATGATAAGTAGTTACTAGCTTGAAGCGTATGATACGATCTAAAGTCACCGATCGAGGATCGACGTGTTAAAATAGTGTGCGAAACAATTGTTGCCGTCTCGTTGCATTCTGAGCTATGCGGTGATTACAGGCTGTGTCATTCTAGTGGAAGAACTTCGACAGACAGTATCGTACCACACAACGAATCAGCATATTTTGCCCTTCGACCATCCGGCCTAGCTAGTATACGAAGGGAACACTTGAAAAGGATTTAGCTCACGATCGCTAATACAATCGTATGCACTTCCTTTACATTTCGAAACAACCGCATGCAACAAAACGTTGATAGTGAATTTCGGCTTCCTGGAAATTGGGATAATGATTTCGGTGCAAATTGCATGTGGACAGTACGAAAAGTACATCGCCTGGCTGCCATGGTAAGACTTGTTGTCCGTTTACCGCTACAGCCTGTTTCCACCTCTTTACACACAGAGGCATTAATCTTGTGTTGCCTCATCCACGACATTCACTATTGTACATGGATCAGTTCAGAAAATTCGCAGACTAGTATATTAAACGAGTTCTCTCTCTATCCAGAGCGCTGCAACACTCCTCGTAAGCCCACTGTCTTAGCAATGTAGTTATGTGTATAGCGTTTCGACTAGATATCAGGTGATCCTTTGGTCCCGTGAGAGCTCAAGCAATGGCTCCAGCGATGATCGCATGCCACTCCTTTAAATCTCCCATGTCTCCATTTGCTGCACTGCCCACTCAATTTAATTATCACGCCGACTTCGAGGAGGTCACGTGATTGCCTTGACATTAAAAAATCAGCCTCACCATTGTAATCTTTCCGTCGACACGCGGTACGTTCAAATTCCACCGTCGAACCTCTCAAAGCGGATATGTATCCAGTCCAAAACTATACTGTAATACCTCATCTACCTAATCGAATTCCAGCTGCATCTGCAATAATTGAATCTGCTTTTGACAGTATAACGCCACCGATGTGATCAAGCATGTAGCCATGTTGAAGAAGCCACGTCATGTGTCACTCGAGTGTCACTAAATCAAGGCAGAGGGGGGCCACCTCTCCACCAAGTCACTATTGTCAAGATCACGCGACGCACTCGGCAGCTCAAGCTCTTCCGGACCGGTCCACGATGAATCTCTTCCGTCTGGTGGGCGACATGGCACACCTGGCCAGCTTCCTGGTGCTGCTGCTCAAGCTGCTGGCCTCTCGCTCAGCCAACGGTGCGTTCCCCCTCTCTCTCTCTCTCTCTCTCCATCTCTATCGTGATGTATGGATGTAAAATGCCAACACCCCTTTACTCCATTATACTCCCTTCGTAGGCATCTCGCTCAAGACACAGGAGCTCTTCTTTGTCGTCTTCCTCACGCGCTACGTGGACCTCTTCCTCTACTTTGTGAGCCTGTACAACACGGTCATGAAGCTGCTCTTTCTGCTCTTTTCGGGCGCCATCATCTACGTCATCCGGTTCAAAGAACCGTTCCGCAGCACGTACGACAGGTCGCATGACGCCTTTCTGCACGTCAAGTTTGCAGTCTTGCCCTGTGCGCTGCTGGCGCTCGTTTTTAACGAACAGTTTGAGGTCAAGGAGATCCTCTGGACGTTCTCCATCTACCTCGAGGCTGTCGCGATCATCCCACAGCTCATTCTGCTGCAACGTCATGGAGAAGTCGAGAACCTCACGAGCAATTACGTCGTGCTGCTCGGAATCTACCGTGGATGCTACGTGGTCAACTGGATCTACCGTGCTGCGACCGAAGCGTCGTACCATTTTATTTGGCTCATGTTTATCGCCGGTATGGTGCAGACAGCACTCTACGTTGACTTTTTCTACTACTACGCTGTCAGGTACGCGTTTATTCAGCTGAAAGTTGCTGTGACCGTGATTTGTATCTAATTACTGTCATTGTTATGCGTTTGGATATGTTCGTCTCATATGCTTGATGCAGCAAGTACCACGGCCAGAAGATGACGTTGCCTGCTTAGACCTCGATTTCGTAGCCAACGGGCTACTGATCGACCAGGCGTTTTCACCATTTTTCAATATAGTGCATACTCCAAAGCATAGATGATCGGGTAAGGGTGACTTCAGCTGTGGTTTGATCGTACAGCGTCTGTCACATGCGCGTCATTCAGCATCACCAACCTGCGGCAGTTGGATAGCATTGCCCGTGTGGGACGCAAATATTGTGAAAGAATGCACCAATGTAGCCTCAGTAGCACCCTGCTTACTATGCAGTAGCACTGCACCGGTCAGCTTTTCACAATCAAATTGCTTGTAATAAATTCAATAAGCATGCAGGTTTGTAAGCTCTCGACGACGTTCAGTCGCGATGGGCAGCACTCTCGTATCGTTTCGTGTGGTAGAAACAGAAAACACTTTATCGATGAATTTTAGCATTCCTGATGGAATTCTTTCAATCCTCCGTCTGCGACCTTTTAGTCTCGGTGGATGCGCTTTTCGATAAGCTATCAGAAGTTATTAGTTACCGGATGAAAGTGGCCTCACGCATACCAGTATCCAATAGTGCAGTCAATAATGAGAGGATAAAAAGTGAAGCTTTTCACGAAAACCACCTACTCCACGAGAACCCCCAATGGACATCTTCCCAAACCAGTGAATGAAGCCCAACTCAGGTCACCTTTCGCTTCCTAACCTGATCGAGTTTGTATCTCAAGGTCAGAGACATGTAACCATCATGGTCGTTTGTCGTGGCTGTTGTTCTTTGCGGGAAACGAGGTGTACTTTCTTCGGCTGGCTCTACATCGCTGATCTTCTCAGCTCTATTGAAGGAAACGAGAGTGTTCAGCTAGAGCTTAACGAACAATAGATCTGGATGCAGTGCAGGAGATGAAGGAAGGAATATAAGGAGTGGAGCAGATGATGAGGAGGAAATTCCAGACCTATTCTCCAAGTCTTTCAAGGTCACCATGTAAACTAGTGCACGTACCTTGCACACCTGTCCGAGGAAACTCACTGTCCTAACCACAAGCCTTTGCAAAGTTACAAGTTATCAGCTAGCGATCATAGAACGACTACGGTAGACGTCAAATCCTACAAGTTAGTGAAGATTATAAGCTATCGGAAGAAAACCCATCAGAAGTAGCACCGTAATATGTCGCATGATCGGCTTTATCTGACGAATTACTGCGTTTTTTACCACAGGTATTTGCTATTTCCACTGGGCTACCCACAATTATACACTCAATAAAAGAAATGTCTAAAATTATCACAACTATTTGGCAAATTTCGACCGCTCTATGAACCCCTGACGAATAAAATTAGGGAGCCGCTATTGAGCCTTCACTTTTCGCTGACGAACCTTCACCACATACATTAATCAAGTAATTAAATTAGAAACCCCTAAATTATCAACTTGGTTTTTCCGAACTTTGATGCTTCTAATTTCTGAATGTTCACAGTCGAGACTGAGCCAGCGATGTGAGCAGGTTCACATAGAGCAGCCCCTCCGACGGGTGAGAGCACTTAAAACAAAGGCTCGAACAGGCTTGGTTGACGTGAAGACCATCCGTCCTACAAAACGTCTCTATCACTCTCAAGAGAACCTCCACGGCAGTTCCGACGACGACACTTCGCACATATTGCAAACGCATTCAGACCATCTTCCATATTCGTGTGTAAATAGACAATCGTGAGAACATAAAACACCTGTTGTATGCTGCTCACATTCTAGTTATTCTTGAGTGTTATTATAAATCATCTTCATGAATCGCCCGATGTAGACAGCGTTGCATGAGCATTGTAGATTTACTTCTTTAACCCTTGAAACGGGCTAGAACAACTTATCCTTTGTTGCCGTTTTATGTGGGTGTTCGATAGCCTTCCGGTAGTGTCTGTTAGCAAACATGCTTGCTGGGTCGAGGTCGACAATATAATTCTGTACATTGATTTCTTTGACTTTTTTTATCTGTCTCCTAGGCACCTTTTCTCCAAACAGTATCCGCTTCAACCATCTCGACAGGTGTGGTTGCTAGTCAAATTGTCTACTACCCACTTGCACTGATTATGCATGAACCGAATGACGGCTGGCGCTAATCGCAACTTTCGATCTACAACCTCAACCTCCAACACCCCCCCCCTCGATTGAGCCTCCGTTCTTATCTCTCTTTCCATCCTTCAAAGTCCTTTGCGTTCTTGACATCCTTCTAGCTGATGTGCACAAGCTCAAGAATCTTCGAAAGCTTTGTTGCATCGAGCACTTTTGTCATCAAATCGGCGAGCACAAGCTCCTTCCTGAGGTAACACGCAAACATCACGCCACGGCACGAAAATTGCATAAGAACTTCAGTCGTACATCCACGTGCTCGGCCTTCAACGACGACACATCACCTGCAATCTAAATGATCGCTGCTTGGTTGTCCACATGCAACTTCATCGGAATGACAGGCGCGATGCCGACCACGGTTAGCATCTCGCGAAGGCCGAGAATTTTGCGCGCTATTTCCAAGGAAGCGACGAACTCGTCCTTCGTAGTGGACAGCGACACACCATCTTGTTTCCACGCACCCCAGATCATTACCATGCTGTTCAGAGGCAACACGCTGCCAGTCATCAATATTCTATCTACCTTGTCCGCCGCGCAATATGCGTCACTAAAGGCTTTCAGTCGTATTGCTTGATGGCGATTTTGATCTGGCTCCATCGTTTCCTAAAAGTTGGTGTACCCTCCAGGTAACGAGCGAGCCTCTTGGCTAACGTTTAATCGAGTAGGCGTGGTGCATGTGTTTGGCGCGTGACTTTGTGCACCACAAAAGCGATGCCGGGCCGCGAACGCGTGCGCACAGTAAGCTGCCGACGAGAGATTGGAACTGTAAAATCGTTGGTCCAGCCTTCGCGCTTAAAGAAATGATCAGCTCTGCGTTGTCCAGCCTCACCACATATCAGTCATCTCCAATCGGGTCACGCGTCGATCTAGCGTCCGCTAGTCCGCTGGTGCGAAGAAGGTCCCCAAACGCCTCCTCCTGGTTGATATTATAGAAAATATAGGAAATGTCGACATCGAGCTCGACCATCATCCTTATAAACTTGCTGATGCTTCTGAGGTCTAATATCGACAGCGAGTCGAGACTGTCAAAGAAACGGTCGACTGCGGATGCGTTTTTTCCTGTAGCGAGTAGGTCATCGACAGAGACACCACAAACGACGAGGTCTTCTCCACCTCTCTTCCAGTAGTTACACATGTCGCTTTTGTAACGCTGCAAAACCAGCTTCTAAAAGACGCGTGTGCAGCAGCTGGCTCTACACTCTACCGGCCCGTTTGATCCCGTAAAGACTCTTACGGATCTCTAGATTGAATTTCTTCGCGCTCGCGACGCCGTGATCGCACAGCAATACTCTAGACACGTTTATGCCACGTGGCAGCTGCAAGCACATCTTCAGATAGGTCTCCTTATCAGTCTGTACGTACGCATGGGGGATGTCGCCATGCTTAGTAAGCACCCCACGTGGCAGCAAGCGCTAGTGTGACCCTCACAGCTGACAGGTCCATAACGGCTGCAAAATTGAGGCTGGAATCGACACAAAGAAACCTGTTCGTTCCCGCAAGTGGCGAAGCGCGCCTTCATCCCACGCAAATTTCCTTGCGCTTCCGTCTCGGTCTTACACATTTGGTGTGCAAGGCGTTCGATCCATCGGGCGCTTCACGACTTGCCAGACGTTGTATTCCTGGAGCACTGCGATCTCTTCTTCAAATGCCATGATCTATTCGTCATGCTTGGTGCTGCTCATGGCTTTACTACAATTTTATTTCAACCAGACAACTACTTCTCAGTGCTTAAAATGGAAAGCAGTATTAAGAGTTAAGACTACTGCTAAAATGCATATATAAATCCCCTCATAAAGTGATCGCTCATCCAGAATGTTCGAAGAGCCCTGTCCCTGCAAGCTGCCATAAACACGACACACAATTCATGTCGTGGTACGTAAACCTCAACACTCCCCTTCAACTTGCACTCTTATGAATTCCACTTGCATCACGCAGACGTAGCAGTTGTGGTGCACTTAGTCGCTTCGTTAGGTAATCAGCAAGCTGCATAATAGACGGAACATGTTTGAGCTGAATTGTGCGCTGCTCAGCGTGATCTCGGACGAAATGCACCCATAGGTCAATGTGCTTGGCTCTTGGCGTATATCCTTGATTTGTCGCAATGCTTATCGCCGACTTATTGTCCATATGCACAGTGGTTGCACTCATGAACGCGACACCCATTTCCATCAGCAAATAGCGAATCCACACAATCTCTTGAGTAGCTAGTGCCAATGACATATACTCAGCTTCAGTCGAAGACAAAGCCACCGAGATTTGTCTTTTACTCTTGTATACAGCAACCGCGTTTCCGAGCAAAATTAAAACACCAGAGGTCGAGCGACGAGTACTTTTGTCACCTCCCCAGTTTGCATCACAGTAGGCGCAAAGCATGAGTTTATTGCTGTCCGATCTCTTGTACACAATTCCGTGTGATTGTGTTCCCATCAGGTAATGCCAAACGCGCAACGCTGCACGCCAGTGCATCTGTTTTGGCTTCTACAAATACTGCGATAACACCGACATCGTGTAGCTGATATCAGGTCGCGTAGCATTCGCGATGTACATCAGGGAACCCACCAGTTTTCGATACAAAGTGCTGTTTTTAAAATCACACTGCGAGTCAGTAGGGGTCAAATCTTGACCAGCGATAATTGGACTGCGAACTTCGTAAGCACCATCTTGTTCGAAATCCGTGATCATCTTCTTGATAAATTGAGTCTGTTTCAAAACCAGCTCTCCCTTTTCTAGAGAATAGTTCACCTCCATACCCAAAATAAATCGCGCAGCTTTAAGCGACTTCACCGAGAAATAAGCTGTCAATTCTTTGTAAATTCCATCAGCCTCTGCATTCGACTTGCATCCGATGAGAATATCATCCACATAAAGCACTATGTACGAAAGTGACTTGACTTTAGTACTGGGACGTCGAACAAAAAGACAAGTGTCCGCACGACATTGTTCAAAGCCTAAAGTCACAAATACAGAGCATATCTTCTTGTACCAAACTGCTGCGGCTTGTTTTAAGCCATTAAACTTCGTCTTAGCTTGCAAACCGATCCAGACGAAAATTTTATCCCTGGTGGTGGCTCCATGTAAACGTCTTCTTCCAAGTCTCCATTTAGAAAGGCTGTTTCCACATTAAATGTCGTATCACATATTTCATACTGCAGCAAACTGCAAGAAACGTGCGAATTGTGTTTGAGCACGCAACCGGTGAGTACGCATTGAAGTAATCAAAACCATGCGTTTGCAGGTATCCAAGAGCAACCAAACGCGCCTTATAACGCACAATTTTACCATTTTCATAAAATTTGTGCCCAAAATCCCACTTGTTTCCAATAACCTTGACACCAGACGGACGGCGAACAACATCCCATGTGTGATTGCGTTCATGAGCTTGAATCTCGGTCAGAATTGCTGCTTTCCATTGCTTTGACTCTGATGACTGTATTGCCTCGTTGTAAGTCGTGGGTACAACAGTGGCAGAAAGCGAAATATCGTAATCGTTCAAACATTGACGTTTAGCTTCAGGCTCGACTACGTCAGCATCATCCTCATTATCCGCTACAGGTCCATCTGTCAAGAGTGGTAAATTTCCACGACCATGTCCAGAATTATCACTTTCAATCAAACGAGGGTACGAATCGTCACTTAATCGTCTTTTACTCGACCCAGTGTATACCTCAAGTCTGTCCTCCTGGTTGTACTGCTCCTCACGCGGTACAATTGCATTTGAGCAATCGCAAATGTCTTGTAGCATGTGCGTGCGCTGATGACCCTTCTCATCAACGCCTCCACTTAGTGTGCGCAATTCTCTAATTGTTTCACCTGTCCGCTCATCTGTACGCTCCCCTTCAATCGGAACAATCTCCAAATTTTCCGACCTGTTGTCCTCGCCATAGGCATCCACAACCATGTCTTCCCAGCTAGGGTCAACATCATCTGCTCCATCAACTTCCATGTCTTCCGCATCATGAGAATCCGCTGAAATGGGTACATTTACCGCATTTTCGTCTCTATCATCGTGCTGTTGTGTGATTTTGACACAACTTTCACTCACAACAATATTCTTGTATCGTGAAGGAGGCCTTTCGTCCAGTGTGACAGAACGAGTCACTACCAACTGTTCTCGATCCACATCCCACACACGGTACGCCTTTGATGTCTCCGAGTAACCCAGAAAAATGCACTTGTTAGCCTTGTTGTCCCATTTGGTCCGCTTGCAATCCGCTACTCGTGTATAACCAGTAGATCCAAGTACACGAAAGTAACTTAAGTTAGGTTTCGAACCGTTCATCACTTTAAATGGACTCTTGTTGGGACGCGCTGTGCTCGGAATTCGGTTTAGTGTGTGCGCAGCCGTCATAACAGCTTCACCCCACCACATTCTATCCACCTCCATATGGCTCAACATCGAACGTGCCATTTCAGCAAGCGTTCTATTCATTCTCTCAGCCAATCCATTTTGCTGTGGAGTATATGGCACGCTTGTTTGGTGTATGATACCATGATTCACACAGTACTTGTTGAACCGGTAACTTGTAAACTCACCACCATTGTCACTTCTGATGCACTTGATCTTGCGATCCGTTTGTGTCTCCACCATCACGCGAAAGTCCTGAAAACGTTCAAACACTTGTGACTTCGCAGCGAGTAAGTACACATAGACGAATCGGCTATAGTCGTCGATAAATGTGAGGACATAAAGGGCACCACCCTTTGATTTCGGGTTCATCGGACCCATGAGATCAGTATGAACAATCTCAAGTGGTTGACTTGTTTTGACTGTACTCCCTGAGGTATGACGAAACGGACTGTTCGTCATTTTTCCACGTGAACACCCATCGCAAACACCGTCTTCAGTTGCCGACAATTTCGTAATACCGTCGCACGCCTTCATTACTTGATTAAGCTTGCTTGTCGATACGTGACCAAGGCGAGCATGCCACGGTCCACTTTCATCATATTCTTTGGTCGTGCTCTCGGCTTTGTACGCCTCCAATACCACATCCTGCTTCACATTCCACGCAAACAATTTTCCCACTCAATTAATCACTGCTACCGTAACCCCATTGGATGTTAGGACTGCTTCATTACGCTTGAACTGCACAAGCACACCTCGGGCTGTCAGTGCTGGTACAGATACAAGCTTCTTGTCCAATTTAGGCACATGAAAAACTTTCTTCAGCATAACTGTGCGGCCATTTTCCAGTACAAATCGCACCGACCCCGTTCCTTTCGCCATCAGATGCTGTCCATTAGCAACTGTGATGCTAACTGGGGTAGTCAGATTTTCATACTCCACAAAATCACGCTCGTCATCAGTCATGTGACGGCTTGCACCACTATCCAGCAGCCAAGTTGCACATGACTCCAATTTCTCGCTTGATGCTGAGAAAACAGATCCGTCGCCAGATCTTGACTGTTTCACGCTGTGACACTGCAAACTCTTGTGACCATGTTTTCCACAAGTAAAACACTTGCCTGGAAATCTTGCGTCGTCGTTCCTTCGTCTGAAAGCTTGGTTTCGATCTTTATCGTTCTGACGGCCATGGTGTCCTCGGTTTCCTTGAAAGCGTCGATTTACATTGGGTTGTGCGTGTGCTTTACAAACAATTTGCTTCTTATCACGTTTCTGTAGCGTGTCATACTCCCGCCGGAGCATCTCTTTTGCGTCCAACAGCGTCACGTTGCTGTGCGCCTCAATTATGCGCACCATATCATCATATTCAGATGATTATCTTCCCAAGAGAAGTAATAGCTTCTCATCATCATCCATGCTGTCACCAGCAGCCCTGAGCTTCAAACAAAGCTCATCAAACTTCAGTAGGTGGTTCATTAGACTCGTACCAGTTTCCATCACAAATTCATGTAGTTGTTTCCGAAGTTGCACCCGATTGTGGAAGTTCTTCTTCGCGAAGAATATCTGCAATACCTCCCAAGCTTCAAGGGCTGTCTCACATTCCCCAACCATACGCTGATAGGTGGGTGAAAGTAACTTCACCAGCACAGCCAGAGCCTTCATAGCGGCGACTTTCCACTCGGGTAATTCCCGTAGCACTGCCGACTCTGGCTTCACCATTACATGATCCAATAGATCCTTGCGTGCAAGGGTCATGCGCGCGTTAAATTACCACATGAAGTAGTTATCATCCGTAAGGATATCATTGGGGGCCAACGCATTTCGGCTCATAACCTATAACAACCAGACAACTACTACAAATTTGTCAGATCAGGCTCAAAAGCTGCTCTCACGACTTCATCGCTCCCAATAAACTCCTCCTGAGGTGTAGCCGACTGCGCTCTCTACGCTGCGCCTCGCATGCCATGTGCAGCGCGTTTCCACGGCTTCTTGCTCTGCTTGCGAGACGTCGTTTTGATGCTTATCTGCAGTCGATGGTGCCGCAGACGTTGCCAAGTCTTGTACTTCCACACGTTCCTTGTATTCGTCAATAATTGCCTGTTGTAGTTGCGCGTTCTGAGCTTCGAACAAAGGATTTTATTTTATGTCTCCCGCCACTTTTGCTGTCGTTCCATCTTCCAGCACAGCTATTGTAGCATCACCTGCGCTGTGTTTACCGTGATTTTCTGGTCTGAAGACACTGATCACATAGCTTTCCATCGCGACGTCGAACGTGAAGACTCCTTCACTGCGCCGAGAAAGCGCGCACTTCTCGCCGTCATAGACAAGAGCAAATGCCTTAATATCAATCTTGTCATGCAAGAAGATGTTCTTCGCCAGTCGTGGCTCCAGGTACGCATCCATTAGCGTCACGATGATCTCGAAACCGCGCGCTATGACCTTGAGCCTAACGCTGTCGACTATCGTCAGTTGCATAGACTCACAATAGGCCATGGCGATCATGTGGCTGCAGGCGGCCGAATTAGTATCTTGTCTTCATTGACATGATGTCAACTTACGCCACTGTAGAGGTTCGAGTCACCTCGATCTCGGTCTCCTTTGTAGCTGAACGCGAGGACCATCCCTCCCTTGCTTTAGTTGCTTCGCTTGACTAGCGTCGGTTGACCCCTTCTCTGCTTCAAAGCTAGCGCTGAAACCATTCCGCCTCTGCCGTTAACATTCCGTTATCATTCATCTTGCCACTACCGCCTTTGCCTCCAGAGCGGTGGTCAGCTTGCACGTACCCGACCTTCCCGCACCCAAAGCAGATGCTTCGTTCCTTTTGGTTCACATCCACGTGCGCATCTACGACTTCGCACCTTACTGCGCCACTGCCGAGCTCGATTGACTGTTCAAAATGCACCAGTTCTTCGATGTGATGCAGCAAGTCTTCACTCTCTGGGTCGTAATTGGCGCGCACAACGTTCTTCATCTCGGGCGACGCGTAGTGGACGAAGCTGTCCAATACCAACGAGTCCTCACCACCGCGCGCGTTACTCACAGCCACCATGTAGTTAAGATGCTCGGCCTATGTGCACTTAGATTCACTTTCCGCACAAAAAGCTTCATCGCATGGCTAGCCGTGATCCTATTTTTGTACTTTGTAAGCAGCTGACACATGACGAAGTAGAGCGTCGGCCTCTGGTTCCACCACGTATCCACCTGCTTGTGTGATATCTATCAGCTGTTCCGCAAAAATGGTGACCGAGCAGGTCGAACTTGACGGCCTCACTCCATGTAAAGCCGCAACACCACTAAGCCAGGTTGACGACGCGCAATAATGTGCGGCCACAATTAAAGATATCGGGCTTAAGTCCACTGTAGAGCTCAGTGCCATCGAGTTTTCATATCGACAGATTTCTCTAACTTGCAATCGGCGTTGCAGATGACGCTGCCGCTGCGTAAACTTGAAATGTGGGTGCAACTTCTGTTCCTTAACAGGTTTTGCGGAGGCTCGGTATTGTCTCCGATGATATAGCGGCGTCTACCCGCGTGGCGGTACAATTACAGCAAACACCGACTCTGCAAGTGCAGGCACGCGCGAGCGCGGTGGCCGTGCAGCAGTTTTCTGCTTAGGCGAGTCCATTAGCGCGTCGGTGATCATCTGCCGTGCGTGCATGTTCGCACCAAGCTCTGATGCGAATATCCTGTTCTCGATAGCGTCAAGAATGCTATCATTCTCATCGAGATTGCGCTGTGGGGAATCCATCTGCGGCGTGCGGTCTGTCACGGCCTTGAGTGTCGCGAGGTTTTTTACGTCAGTCGCCTAGCTTCTTTTGTGATCTGGCTAGTCTCTGACGACTGTGGAAGCGCGTGCAGGTGATGCAGCGCGTGCTAGCATGCCACCAAGTGCCGGCGATGACCTAGCGTGGCCTGCCGTTGACGGTGTAGGTTTGAGTCATCAAAACCAGCTATTAAGCTCATAACCAAACATGCTTGCTGGGCCGAGGTAGAAAATGTAATTTTGTACATAGATTGTTTTGTCTTTTGTCTATCTGTCTCCTAACCACTACTTCTTTTAACACTATGTGCTTTAACCATATCAAAATAGATAATTGCTAATCAGCTTGTCTACTACCCACTTGCAATAACTATGCATGACCAGAATGACGGATTTCACTTGTTACAACTCACTGCTATCAATCTCAACTTCCGACAGTGTCAGCTCGTCACGTGCAAGACAGTATTCGTTAACAGATCTTCTGTTTATATTGAATGCATTCCATTTTTATAAGAAGGGAGGATAGAAGCACGATTTAGTAGGTAATTAAATTAAATAGACACTATTTCTGAAACGAACAATACAGCAGAAAATTAATTTTGGCGGTTTTTAAATTTAATCACTTGTATAATGTGAAGGGTGCACTCTCATTAACAAAATATTAAAGCTCATTAGCTTCCCCCTTTAATTTAGGTTTAGCACACTTAGGGGAGTGGTTTAATTCACTCCCGTTTTATTTGTATTCACACCCTTCTATTTCACTAAGTGAACATTTGCAATCGTAATATTTGATGGAGCAATTTTCGGAATAACGGGCACATTCTTTCTATTGCATCATCCCGCACGCTCCCCGATTTTAGACTAAAAGCAATGAACTAAGGCAATGCCCATGATGTATAGATGGTGGTGATTCCGACGGGTTCACCGACGTAATTTAGCCTATAATTGTGAGATTTAGCACAAAAAAGGGTCAAGCGTCACGTGTTAAATTTTAGCTCACTCATTTTTACAGATTAAACTTAACGGCCATGATTTTGCATTTAAAGGACCAACTATGTCATCAGACATTTAAGAAGTAAAGATAGCGACGTTGCCGATTCAAATGTCGTTGAATGTACAAGAATTAAGTATCAGGAGAATGAAAACTACATAAATGAAAAAAAGAAAGACATTTGGCATAGGATATATGCCTTCTTTGACGAAGATGACCACGTTACACTCATGTTCATAATAATAAGACCACTTACAATAATGCTCAAAACAATAAACCTGATGCGAGTTAAAAAGTGTCGTTTGAGCAAGATATGCGCAAATCTTTAAAAAACCTCTCTACAGTGTTAAAACCCGATAAATGGGACGATCTCATTGCTCACGTACTAAAATCGCTATTTGCGCCCGGCAAAAAGTATACGGACTATAAAGCACACAAATTGCAAGTTAAAATACTAATAACTTCTTCAGTCTTAAAGCGATGAGGAAAGGAAAAGCGCTGACCAACTCATTGTGTGAAAGGAATTAGGGCTTGCATGAAGCAGGTCTGATAACGTGCGCCATCGAGCATGCTTTTAGTAGGTCACGTGACGCAGTAATGCGTGTCGTGAGCGGAAACATAAAAAGTAGGCGGGAGGACAGTGAATAATGATGGATGGAGACTTCAGTATTAAGAACGAGTCTTGCCGCTTCGCACACGTCGTTAAATGAGAGTACACGTCACACAGAAGCTGTACCAGCGTACGCGCAGGTACGACAATCGAGGATCTCCATGTGACTCACGCAGTTTGAGAGCATCAGCACTGCTTACTCTGCCCAGCAGTTAAACTGTCCACATCCAATCATTCTATGCATCCCATTGTTCTGCTTGTCTATTGTTTCTATTCGTCCGATCATCTCCGGCGAAATTTCCGTGAAAATGATGCCGTCAAGTTACATTCCAGATGGAGCGACAACGAGTACCCCGCACAGTTATAAGCCGGCATCTAAATATCTCACGCGACGCATCTTCTGTACGGACAAGTGAGGAGAAGGCAAGTGTTGCAACAAGTTCTGGAGCTCCTCTACTAGCATAGTTAGTACAGACACCTAGCCGGATGACAACGACGTGGTGGTCTACTTGATATGCGGTTTCCAAAAATGTCAGATAATGTTGTTCTGAGCCTGGATGAATAGTGCGGGACAGCGAGTGCATGACGTTGTAAAGAGACGATGAATGAACGTTTAGAGCAACATAAGAAGTAGGCGGGAGGACAGTGAATAATGATGGATGGAGACTTCAGTATTAAGAACAAGTCTTGCCGCTTCGCACACGTCGTTAAATGAGAGTACACGTCACACAGAAGATGTACCAGCATATGCGCAGGTACGACAATTGAGGATCTCCATGTGACTCACGCAGCTTGAGAGCACCAACACTGCTTACTCTGCCCAGCATTTAAACTGTCCACACCTAGTCATTCTATGCATCCCATTGTTCTGCTTGTCTATTGTTTCTATTCGTCCGATCATCTCCGGCGAAATTTCCGTGAAAATGATGCCGTCAAGTTACATTCCAGATGGAGCGACAACGAGTAACCCGCACAGTTATAAGCCGGCATCTATGTACCTCACGCGACGGATCTTCTGTACGGACAAGTGAGGAGAAGGCAAGTGAGGCTAGTGTTGCAACAAGTTCTGGAGCTCCTCTACTATCATAGTTAGTACAGATACCTAGCCCGATGACAACGACGTGGTGATCTACTTGATATGCGGTTTCCAAAAATGCCAGATAATGTTGTTCTGAGCCTGGATGAATAGTGCGGGACAGCGAGTGCATGACGTTGTAAAGAGACGATGAATGAACATATAGAGCAACATAAGAAGTAGGCGGGAGGACAGTGAATATAGATGGATGGAGACTTCAGTATTAAGAACAAGTCTTGCCGCTTCGCACACGTCGTTAAATGAGAGTACACGTCACACAGAAGATGTACCAGCATATGCGCAGGTACGACAATTGAGGATCTCCATGTGACTCACGCAGCTTGAGAGCACCAACACTGCTTACTCTGCCCAGCATTTAAAATGTCCACACCTAGTCATTCTATGCATCCCATTGTTCTGCTTGTCTATTGTTTCTATTCGTCCGATCATCTCCGGCGAAATTTCCGTGAAAATGATGCCGTCAAGTTACATTCCAGATGGAGCGAAAACGAGTACCCCGCACAGTTATAAGCCGGCATCTGTATATCTCACGCGACGGATCTTCTGTACGAACAAGTGAGGAGAAGCCGAGTGTTGCAACAAGTTCTGGAGCTCCTCTACTAGCATAGTTAGTACAGACACCTAGCCGGATGACAATGATGTGGTGATCTACTTGATTTGCGGTTTCCAAAGATGTCAGATAATGTTGTTCTGAGCCTGGATGAGTAGCGCGGGACGGCGAGTGCATGACGTTGTAAAGAGACGATGAATGAACATGTAGAGCAACATAAGAAGTAGGCGGGAGGACAGTGAATAATGATGGATGGAGACTTCAGTATTAAGAACAAGTCTTGCCGCTTCGCACACGTCGTTAAATGAGAGTACACGTCACACAGAAGATGTACCAGCATATGCGCAGGTACGACAATCGAGGATCTCCATGTGACTCACGCAGTTTGAGAGCACCAACACTGCTCACTCTGCCCAGCATTTAAACTGTCCACACCTAGTCATTCTATGCATCCCATTGTTCTGCTTGTCTATTATTTCTATTCGTCCGATCATCTACGGCGAAATTTCCGTGAAAATGATGCCGTCAAGTTACATTCCAGATGGAGCGACAACGAGTAACCCGCACAGTTATAAGCCGGCATCTATGTACCTCACGCGACGGATCTTCTGTACGGACAAGTGAGGAGAAGGCAAGTGAGGCTAGTGTTGCAACAAGTTCTGGAGCTCCTCTACTAGCATAGTTAGTACAGATACCTAGCCCGATGACAACGACGTGGTGATCTACTTGATTTGCGGTTTCCAAAAATGTCAGATAATGTTGTTCTGAGCCTGGATGAGTAGCGCGGGACAGCGAGTGCATGACGTTGTAAAGAGACGATGAATGAACATATAGAGCAGCATAAGAAGTAGGCGGGAGGACAGTGAATGTAGATGGATGGAGACTTCAGTATTAAGAACGAGTCTTGCCGCTTCGCACACGTCGTTAAATGAGAGTACACGTCACACAGAAGATGTACCAGCATATGCGCAGGTACGACAATTGAGGATCTCCATGTGACTCACGCAGCTTGAGAGCACCAACACTGCTTACTCTGCCCAGCATTTAAACTGTCCACACCTAGTCATTCTATGCATCCCATTGTTCTGCTTGTCTATTGTTTCTATTCGTCCAATTATCTCCGGCGAAATTTCCGTGAAAATGATGCCGTCAAGTTACATTCCAGATGGAGCGAAAACGAGTACCCCGCACAGTTATAAGCCGGCATCTGTATATCTCACGCGACGGATCTTCTGTACGAACAAGTGAGGAGAAGTCAAGTGTTGCAACAAGTTCTGGAGCTCCTCTACTAGCATAGTTAGTACAGACACCTAGCCGGATGACAATGACGTGGTGATCTACTTGATTTGCGGTTTCCAAAGATGTCAGATAATGTTGTTCTGAGCCTGGATGAGTAGCGCGGGACGGCGAGTGCATGACGTTGTAAAGAGACGATGAATGAACATATAGAGCAACATAAGAAGTAGGCGGGAGGACAGTGAATATAGATGGATGGAGACTTCAGTATTAAGAACAAGTCTTGCCGCTTCGCACACGTCGTTAAATGAGAGTACACGTCACACAGAAGATGTACCAGCATATGCGCAGGTACGACAATCGAGGATCTCCATGTGACTCACGCAGTTTGAGAGCATCAGCACTGCTTACTCAGCCCAGCAGTTAAACTGTCCACACCTAGTCATTCTATGCATCTCATTGTTCTGCTTGTCTATTGTTTCTATTCGTCCGATCATCTCCGGCG